CCTTGGCAATAGTGCTGTTTGCGTGTACTCTAATTATTTTGGAGTGAGCTATGTATAAATAGGTTTTAGAAAGATGTGTCTTGTCGAAGAAAAGAAACAGCATTCTGTAGATATGTGATGGCTTTTTACTCTTCTTTTGATAGGTTCTGAAAAGTTTGTTTACCAGCCAGACCACTGGAATTGGAAGGAAAGGATGCAGGTTAACAGCAGAGGATATTGAAGCTTATCTCTATGTCTTTTCACAACCTGGAGCATTAACTGGACCTATCAACCATTACAGAAACATTTTCAGGTTAGTATAACATTCCGAAACAAGGTAAAATATTCTAGAGCCCTCTAGAGGCTAAAAGCGTTACTGTATCTTCTGCCGCAGTAGAAGGTAGAAGGGAAAAAAATATACATGTATTTCTAAAGTCTCAACAGTTAACAAAAGCATTTGGTGTCAAGCAGCAAAATCCATTGGAATAGGTATCCACGCAAAAAAAAAAGTAACAACCAGAATTTTCTCAAGCAGCCAGACCTGGCCTTAGAAGCTGACACCCTCTGCTTATTTACCAAAAACCTAACAGGGCCACAATGTGTTTAAACCTGTTCATTCTCTACTCAGGACTGGTAGCCCTGGGCCGCAGGGATATATCAGGAGGTCTGAACTCTTTATTCCCTTAATTCCTGTTTCCAGCAGCGTTAAATCTCCTTCCCTGAGCTCAGCAGAGTTTTTGAAGCTTTCCCTGTTCCAAACATAGTGCCACCCTTCCTGCTCGTCTTGTGTCTTCCTCATTGTCACTGTCAGGAAAGCAGTCAGCAGGGCAATGCTGGGAGGAAAACAGGTGTCCAAGGCAGGTGCTGTCTGCACAGGCTGAGACAAAACAGCACAGAGAGATGGCATGCTATCTTCTGAATAAGCTAACAACAAGCACAGACACCAATGGTGAGTATGAGAAGCGGCTGTGCTTGTAGGAGTGTCCCTGTTTGCAGCCACACAGTGCGGCTGACAGCACCAGCTGGGACATCCAAGGGCAACAGGAGCTGTGGGGCATCATAGGATTCCCTGGTGCTAGAATGGCACAGCCACAGCCTGCAGGGTATGGCTAATGAGCAGCTGGAGAGGCAGGAGGGCCCTGAGCCTTGCTCATTAGGTTTGCCACAGCACCTCGCATCAGCGAATGCACACTAACCAACTGCGGCAGCGGCAGTGAAGAGACTGTTGCAGTTGCATTACTGTGGGATTTGCACAAGTAGAAGAGTTGCATGTTTAAACTACCAGTTCAGGCCTTTTTTAGGCTTAAGGGAAAGAGAGGTATTAATCAGGAAGTATCTTCACAGAGCTATTAATTCCTTAGTCTGAATGTTCTTGTGCACTGTCTTGTTTACCTTTCCAATGAAAATACTCCTGTGATTAATTCAGAGAATAACATTCTAGGTGGTATCAGCCACAACACAGCAGGATTTCCACTTGAAAAAAAATATGGGTCTTCAGCTCTTTCTCTTCTTGCCACCAATTCTGATGGTCACACGTCAGGTGAATCATTAGCTATTATAACTGGATTGAAATTTTCACTTCCTCTCATAAAAGCAGCACTTAGGTTCTACTGACTTGTATTTACCATGATTCCCAGGGGGCTGGCACTGGTCTCCTACATGTGAGAGGTTTCCATTTCATTGCTATCCCCCTGGAGCTCTGATTCTTTATTTTTCTGGAAGGTTATTTCCAAAGAGACAATTGAAATGAGCTACTTCCCATCCACTGTGAACACTTACTTGCATAAACAGAACAGCAGTCACTCTGTTACTTTGGATAAGCAAGGCAAAGAATCTTGCAAGGCTCTTAGAGATGAATCTAAACATGCTGAATTGGATCATCAGATTATCAATTTTTTAAGATGCTACTATGAAAAATCTATGGGGGTTGGGACACTTTGTTGGAAAAATGAAATCTAAATCCACTGCTACAAAAAGTCATTTAAAGAATTCTACTAGTTCATCAATTAAAATAAAATTATTATTTAACCTGATCTTTTATTACTTATTCTCGCAATGATGTGTAAGAGAAAGAAGGAATGCCAAAGTCTCCACTTTTGTCTAACGTTAAACTAATGCATAGCATCTTCTCTTTCCCTTTTTAGAGTATAGTTTCTCAATTAACACCTAAGTTTGAACCTAGCAATAAATTATTCATAAAAGTTTGTTGAGAACAAACTTTTTTAATACATGATTGTTTTAGCATTATCATGCTTCAGCATTAGCATAATAATGATTTGTATCTGTGCATATGAAATCTGTTCTGAATTGTTGCAGTTAGTTAGTCTTTTCCAAGATAGAGTCTGTTCTAAGATAAAGCAGTTCAGGAGTAAATACAGATACAATTTTCAACATTCCGAGGTAGATAAAAAATGAATTCTGATATGTTAATATGACTTATGTTGAAATAATCCTTCATTTCTGCCTGCTTGTTTTCTGTCCTCTAACGTCTACCCTCAGTGCAAAGACACATTTATAAAATAATTACATTCAAAATTAACTGTATTAAGAAAAAATAGTGGAAAGTTTTAACAGAAAGTTTAAATGTGTCAGTGTGGTGGTATAATTTTATTAACATTTTACTTTCTAAGGGCTTCTCTTCAAAAAAATCAATGTCTTACAACGTGTAAATGCTTTTGAGTCCATGTTGTGGTTCAACGCAGCAGCAGCTCAGCACCACTCAGCTGTTTGCTCACTGCCCCCCAGTGCAATGGGGGAGAAAACTGGAGAAAGGTAAAACTTGTGGGCTGAGATAAAGACAGTTTAGTAGGCCAGAAAAGGAAGGGAAAATGATAATAAAAGAATACACAAAACAAGTGATGCAGACTGCAATTGCAGACCGCCTGATGAGTGATACCAGGCAGACCCAGACCAGCTGCGGACTCCACTGGCCGACTTTCCCCAGTTGTTATTGCTGAGCACAATGCTACATGGTATGGGACATCCTGCCATTTGCTGAACAACCATTTTTTGGTAACACAGGAAGGGTAGTCAGGTAGCTGGATGCCTTGAACACTGTATTGCAAACATGATTCAAAGCACTGCATTTCACTGAAATCTACATACAGTAGATAATACAGGTTCAGAAATCTGCCATAGCATTCATCAACCCAGGAAAATCCATGGACCACCAGAATTCTGGCCATGTTGTCCTACATTCACTTTTATGGAGATTATGGAGCTCCTGGGCTACACATCCTGAAGAAGCATCATTCATGCTTCAAAAATAAGACTTCTGTTGCAACCAGCTGCTGATTACAGACATGTAACTTCACTATCCTTAACACTTAGAGCACTTTGAGTCGTATGAGGGTTCTCTTTGTATTGTAAAGATAACCTGGAACCTAAAAAGCTTTCAGTAAGATTATCTGTGTTGATTTCACAAACTAAATTGAATGATGAAGTAAGTTGGTGATTTTTATAAAACAAGACTAAAGTAAGTCTATTTTTTTTTAAAGCTGCCTACCTCTGCAGCACCATGAAGTCATCATGCCAACCCTGCTCTTATGGGGAGAAAGAGATGCATTTATGGAAGTTGAGATGGCAGAAATTACAAGGATTTATGTTAAAAACCATTTCAGATTAACTATTTTGTCTGAAGCCAGTCATTGGCTCCAGCAGGATCAACCTGACATAGTGAACAAGTTGATATGGACCTTTCTAAAGGAAGACACAACAAGAAAGAGAGAATGACTGTACATGTTCTAAGGAGTCTATGAAAAAGCTCTACAGATTTAAAAAGTAATTGTTATCAGGGCCATACTTCCAGCCTGCCTTCTATTTTGAGCTCTGTTAGAGAAAAGTGTTTTTGATGTACTGTACATTTGGACACCAACGTTTCTGCTAAAAGATGAAGTGAGTATGAGAATACCAACATCGATTTTACCTGTACACTTGTATTTTGCACATAAAAACACCTGCCTTAAGATATATGTATTTGTATAGAAGGAAAATCATGGAAAATTGCTTGGTTTTGTTTTCTCCCTTGCTTTACAGTCTCTGTGTGTGGTGCCTTTACAAATTTATAATGAAATAATGGAGTGGTGCCATACAGAAGGAAGTCACAAGTTTTCATTCTCAATTTGCCTGAATTTTTTTAATGTATTTTACCATTAAAGTTATTAACTCTTTTTATTATGTGTATTTTAGCATACTGGATGACTGAAAAAATTTTGGGCACATTTCTAGTCTTCAAGTGAATATTGATACATATCTTGTTGTATTGTTGAATGCAGCTGCTTTGTGCAATGTGTTTTTCTTGACTAAAAAATGGGAACCTGTACACTCAATGTCTGAACAAGAAGAATGGGAAATTAAGATCTAACATGTATCAAAACCACCTCTGTCTAATAAAATGCAAAATTACTCCCTTTACCTGGCTTCCCAAAGAGAGGTTTCTTGCTGGTGCTCAGAACTAGGTTTGAACAGCTGAAGTGTCTGTGCACTTCCTCACGATGATTTATTGGAAACAACACCTCGTTGCTGGCATTGTCCTTTCTATGTTAGCATTTATTGTTCTATTGTTCTCATCTCCAAGAACTGCTGCCAAGGTTTTCCTAGTGTTTCTGACACTGATCCCGCCTTTCCCAATTATGAACGGTACCTGACATTCAAGTATAATTTTCCCACAAACGTTTCTAACATTTATATACTTCAGTAGTTACACGCCTCTTAAACTGAACTAAAGTTGGGAAGATTCCTGTCTCAGAAGGATGCTGCAGAGCTGCTTTTACTGTTTACACAGCAGTCTAATCCCGGAACGAAAACCTTTGCTGGAAATTGAGGACGTTCCCCCGGCTGGCTGCGCCCCTGCGCGCAGCGCTCTGCGGGAGGCTCCGCCGGGCGGCGAGGAGCGGCGGGGGCACAGCGCCGGGACTCCGCCCCGCCCCCCCGCGGAGGGTGGGCCAAGCCGGAAGGCCCCGCCCCCTCCCCCGCCCCGCCCGCGGGGAGGGTGATCGAGGCGCCGCGGGGAAGGGCGGGGCCGGGCGGCGCACCGCGAGCCCTCATTGGCGGAGGCGGCTGCCGGCCGCGGCCCGAGAGGCAGCGGGGTGGGCGCCCCAGCCGCGCCGAGGGACAGCCGCATCGTATGGTGCGACGGTGCCTCGGTCCCGGTGGCGGGACGGAGTTGGCGGGAAGGGTGACGCCGCCGCCCGCCGCGCTGTCCGTTCCGCCTTAGGGCGGCGGGCCGCGCTTCGGCGTCGTAGCGCAGGGACTGACCCCGCGCCAGGCGCTGCGACTGCCGGCACATGGCGCGCTGCGGTAGCGGCGCCGCGCCGAAGGGCCCCGGCCCGGGGACGGCGGAGCGGCAGCGGCTGAAAGAGGCGCTGGCCGAGCAGCTGCGGCAGGACCTGAGCAGGTAGGTGCGGGCGGGGCGGGCCGGGCCGGGCCGGGCCGGCGGTGGCGGTACGGGTAACGGTACCGGTGCGCTCCCGCAGGTTGCTGGCGGAGGGGACGCGCTCCGACGTGACGATCCGCGTGGGCGACGCGGCGCTGCGGGCTCACCGCGCGGTGCTCCTGGCGCGGGCGCCGCGGCTGTTCGGCGGCCTGGGCGGGGGGCGGCCGCCCCGCGAGGCGCTGCGACTGCACGGACCGGCGCCCGCCGAGCTCCGGCGCTTCCTGCGGTGAGTGCGCGGCTGCGGCGGGCGGGCGGTGGGCTGGAGTCGCTCCCGGGCCCCCGCCCGGCGCTTCCCGGCACTTCCCGGCACTAACACCTGTTGTGGAGCTTTCCCTTTCTAAGCAGTTCTTTCACAGCCTTCCCGCCTTGCAGAAGACTTTGCTGCGCCTTGCTTATTTCCCACTGCCTCTGTCCCTCCTTCGACGGCACGCAGCTACGTGCTGCTCAGTGTATTGGTATGGGATGTAGATGTTTGTGCAATCGAGACAGAGGAGAAGCAGCGAAAGTGCTGAATGTATCCTTTAAAACTGTTTGTGGCTATCGCTATGCTAATAGCAAGGCTAGACATATATAACTGTCAAAAGCAACGAAGGAAGAACGTGCTAGTGGTACGTTGAAAAATGGTCACTGCTGACTAGGAGAGCCAGGAGGACTTCGTGAGTGACGCATCAGGTCAGGAATTGCATGGCCATCCCCAAAGCCGTCGTGGCTGAGGCTGAGCAGCACAGCTCCCCGGCGTGCTGGGTGAGGTGTGGGTGCGCTGGCAGCTGCCCAGGGACTGCTGCAAGGGCCGGCTGCCTTCCCAGTGCCAGCTGCTAGCAGCTCTGTGGCATCGCACTTGTCTGCTCCAAGCTTTAGGACAGTATGTGAGGGTTGCTGACTGGTGTCACAACCAGGCCTCACAGTCCTCCCTGACCCATAGTACCTCCCATCCTTCCCAAGAGCCGAGCAGCACTTGCTTTACCCTGACAAAGTCACAGTGATGCACCTACCTCCTTTGCAGCAGTGCTGACTGGTGACATGGGTGTGCATGGGAGCAGAGCAGCAGGCACTGGACACTTCCCAAAGAATTCCAGACGTGCCTAGAAGAAAACATGCACTTTTAGGCTCTTGAGGAGTTGATGAGAGAAACGAGAAGGTGTTGCTATTCTAGAGTTAAATGTCTAAAAGTAATATAGGCTGGCCTTTGGGTGAAACCAACAACAATTCTTTTCATAAATCTGTAAATAAGGCAGCATATGGCTGAAATATTTATTCAGGGTATGAAAATTTTAAGTATGAAATGATGTTTTTTGTATTGAGATTAATATCTAAAGCCATGTAATCGGTGTAGCTGAGCAGGCTGATAACTGGTGTTGGTCAATTTTCTGTAGGTCTCAACCAACCATCAGTGAAACAGTGAGAAACAGAACACAGTTTTTCTCATTACTGTCTTAGATACCTTAGTGCAATTTCATTTCTTTACCTTTCATATAAGTGGCAGTGCAAAAGACTTTCATGCAGAAACATGATACTGCAGATTAAAAAAACTCCAAATTATTTTAACATGTGAATTGGGAAGTTATTGGGAATAACTATCTTAATTATTTATAAACTGCTATAGTATAACTTTACTGTCCTAATGGGATGCACTTAACACGTCTAGAGCTCATAAATATTTGCTTTTGCTTTGGTCTGTTTGCAGCAGGGCAAATAATGACCTCTGGAGTCCTGCAGGCTCTCCAAGAAGTACGGGCTTAGTCGTGAAACAGATAAATCAGCTCATCTAAATAAAACCTTTTTCCATTCTTAAAAACTCTTATTTTTGAAAGGAGTCCTCAAGCTCTTTTCAGTTCTTAGGTGAAATTCCACGTGTGTTCTGAACAGTGTACAAAGTTGCGTTTTGCAAGATTAATTTGAGAAAAAACAGCAATCTTCAATTCAGCATTTGAATTGAGTCACCTAGAAGTTCTGTAGAAGCAAGTGCCACAGAATGCACTGAGTTTAGTGACAATGAAAGGCTTTGGACCAAGGAAAGGAAGTAGCTCTGGTTGAGAAGAGCTTAGCTTCATTGTTGGACTGGTGACTTCTGCTAGTATCTGTGATTCTTACAGCTAAGTTACAAATGACTTGGATCTTAGCATATCCAAAGCAGTGCTCTGAGTTAGTTTGTTGAGAGGAATGTATCCTAGTTCTTGGAGCACATGAATCACTGTGAGGAGTTGCATCCTAGACCTTACCAAAGACCTGGTGCTGCAATTGAGCTCCTGAGAGAGTTATTTTCAATAAAAGTTCTAGATTTTCTGGTTATAAATACTGTTTCTCAATAGAAGAGAAGCAGAATGCTAATATCGTACTGAAGCCTTCATCAAAGCTATAAAAACATTTCATTCCCTTTTCCTGTTTGCATTTAGCTTGTCTTTTAGCTTTCCTTGGGGATTTAGGATTTCTTTTTCTCATAAGCTATATTTGGCTTCCATCTCGGTGAGACTTCCTTTGGGCCTCTGCCTTTCTTGTGCAAGGGGGACATAGGCCACGAGTTACTTGCGGACTGGGGCCTGTGCAGCTCCCATAGTCAAACTTCTGTTTTCGAGCAGGTTGGAGGACATGGTGAGCTTTATGCTGGTGCTTCTGCACAGCCTCAGTGTGAAATAGGTGAGCCCTGCTTTGTTTTCCCCTTTATACTTCAATGTCTGAGGACACCAGGAAGAAACTACTGGTCACAAGGAAGTGCAGCATCCGTACTGCAGATGCTGATCACCCTATACATTAACTCTTAGAAATGGTCAACAGTTGCAAGCATGTCAATGTCAGGAGACTACTGTTCACACTGGGTTCTGCAGTCTACCTCAAGAAGTGAGAAACTCAACATCCCAGAAGGACAACAATTTGTTGCAGGTAATTAGATCATTAATGTCTTACCTTCTGAGAGGTAAGCTGCTTTCTACCCTTTTTCCCATGAAGGGTCAGAAAGTATATGAAGTTCCATAGAATCCATACTGAATTTGACTAGTTCCTCCAGTAAGGATGGACTGTTGTAATAGAAGATGTTAAGTGAATTTTGTTGCTTGGTATCATTAAGGTGTGAGGAAAATTCTTTCTTGGATGGCCCCATCCAGCCTAGTCTTGAACTCTTTCAGGGATGGAGCCTGTGCAACCTGATCTAGTGGGAAGTGTCCCTGCCCATGGCAAGGGGTTGGAACCAGATGATCTTTAAGGTCCTTCAACCCAAGCCGTCCTGTGATTCTATGTTTTTTTATGCAAACTGATCTATCAGGAAGTGTTTCTAAATGAGAAAATGATACTTAGTAAATAACATGAAATCCTGAAAATCCTGATAACTGTGCTCATACACGTTGAAAATACAAATTAATTGATTATATTTATATCATGCTTTGAGAAACAGCTGGGGAAAAAAAAAAAAATCCTTCCCAAAACAAATGAAATTAACAAATACTGCCCTCTAAATACGGGGAATGTGAGAAAGTGATACAACTATCTTTAACTTCATCAAGCAACTAAATTTTGAATTGTGGAAGTTAAAATGTTCCATGAAGTCTCAACTTCAGTAAATGCTGAGAAAATTGGGAACAAATGCTTGTAAACCAAAGTGTTTTTCACCCAAACTAAGGGATTAAGGATTTTGCTCCTCTGGCTGGTCTTCTAAAGACATTTGTCTATATAACCATGTTCTTTGATCTGAGCTTGTTACTACCGCGCATGAGCTTGGCTAGTCAGTGAGAATATTCAGAATTTGCTAAGCAGGGAATGTGGAGTGGAGGGAAATAGGTCAGATACTACGTGTGTTTTGTAGATCTTATGCCATGAATTTATGTACCCTCTACACAGAAGTAAAATGTAATTCATAAGAAATAGGCAAAAACCTTTCACTTGGACATTGATTGCTTAGAAGGACAGATTGTTCTGCTGACATAATTAGCTTTCACATGGAATTGTAAAATTGAATCTGGCGACAGTGAGGCGGCTGATGTTGTATCTAATGAGAAGAAAATTACAGAAATACTGGTCATGATAGATCAATTAATTTAAAATTACCATCTCAGCTACAAAAAGCAAAGCACTATCAAGCAGATAATTCTTCTAGGAAATCTAAAGGGAAGTGGAAGAATCTTAAGAGGTAAGTTGAGGTTGCACTTGTGACATGCCTAACTTGCATTAACAAGGACTCACTGCTATAGATGTACTGCTGAAATATCTTAGCAAGTCTCCCACTGTTAAGTGCAATGCACAAAACTATTTGCTGCAATTACATTCACTGAAGACTATGTAAAAACTGTGGGTGGGAAATTGTTGTGTTTTCTACATTTTCACTGTTATTTTATCAGCAAAAATTAATAGATCTTGATTATTTTGGCATTTCATTGTGATAATACATAGGTCTACTGTTTGAGTAAAACTGTATGATACAGTATTTTAGACATCTGCAGAGGATATTTGAGGCAAATCTAGTTACTGCTTGAAGTTCTAGCATGTGTTATACAAAGTTCCTATTGAAAACAACACACAATTGTGTACAAGTTGTAAATAAAAGAAAAACATAATTTGTGTCTGTGTCTGCTGATTGTATTATCCCTCACAATACCAAGTAGCCTGTTTTGGCATCTACACTTGTCCCTCTATAATAAAGTTAACGTTACTTTAAAATGATGATGTGCTGCCAAAAAGTAGACTTAACCTGTTTCATACAGGTCAGACTCTTGTGCTTCATGCTTACTGTGGTATTTACGATGGAGAGTTTTCTGGTGGATTTTAGCATTAACATCTGTTCTGTGTTGCTAACTGAACTTGGGAGGGAAAAGAGATCAAAATAGAAAAATGACCCTCTCTCCAGCATTAATGACTTGTTCAAGCCTGTTCTGTAATTTTTAACTGATGTTCTACAAGTATAACGTATCTACAATGACACCAGATCTTGTCTGTTTAAACACTAAGCATTTAAAAACTCAAAAGCGAGCGCTTACCTAGTGACATTTATGTATGTGTACATATAAGTATGCGTGTGTGTATACATGTTTGTAGATCTATTTATATATCTGTATATATATTTACATATATATTAGCATGTACGTAGGCGTATGTGTATATAAAAATAACTTGGTTTAAGGAGAGGGAGGCTGGTAGCTGTTTTCTCCAGAAGAGCTTTTAGTGAAGAACTCTCTCAGAGAAAGCAGAATCTGTTGTAGGCAGGATTTAAAAGGCTGCTTCATAAGTAGCTGAGAATATGGTTTTAGATTTGGTTAATATTTAAATCCAGTGTTCTTTCATGCAGGTTTATAGCTGCTTTGGAACAGTAGGAGCAGCTGTCCTAATAGGTTTCAGTAAAGCTTGGTGTTCTGGTGACTTTAGGTATTCTTGGAAATAACAAGAATGAGTTCTGCATAATTTTAAATACGGATTGTTTGTTTTAAATCAAGTCTTTTTCCACCTTTTTGCTTAATTGTGTTCTTTCCATGGCTTTTAGTGGTTTGGACCATGTCACTTTGGGATTTTTGTCCGTCTTGTGGACAGTGGCTGTGGTTTGCAGTAAGGAGACATGCTTCCTAACTCAAAGGGCAAAATAAGTAGAGCATAGAGTAACTTCTCAGATCTAGAAACCAGTCATTTGGTTCTGGCTTAACAGCATGTCTGTTTACTTGTTTTATTTGTAGACTTCCTAGTTGTAGTAACTGGTGCCATTTTTATTTATTTAAGCTTCCTGGTAATAGAACCATATTCCTGAGGCTTCCTATATAAATTATCTGAAAATACTCTAAGGATTCCCTTTTGCCTAGTTTAGCAGATTGTCTATGGATATGTTTTTCAGTTACTGGCAGAAAGAAAGAATATTAAAACAATTATTTTTATGACAAAGCAGTACATCTGTTAGAACCAGCTCTCCCTCAGTCAAGTTATACTGTCTTTACATGCTGAATATGCAGCAGCAACAGAATGGTGAGTATTTAAATTTGTGCTGAAACATTAACATGTTGAGAGTTAAGAATGAGAACTCAAGTCTTTTGAATACAGGAAGGTGATTTCTTTATCTCTTTTCTCTGGCTCTTTAACAGTATAGTATTGAAGTAGCATATTCAAATTATTGTTTTCACAGCATTAACAATAAATTGTCTTCACCATGGAATGAGTGATTAAATGCAGATCTGCAAGTATCTATCCATGGAATCCTAGACAACTGTAGCTCTTCTGTTAAACTTTGTTAACTTCATCTATCTGGTATGAAACTGCAGATAAAACATCTTGTCTGTTCACATTGACTATTTAAGGCTCTATTAAGTTGCTGAAGAGCAGCATCTTTCTTTAAATACGAGAGCTCTGCAGTCACAGACTGCAGGCTTTGTTAGCCTTTCCAGATTTTGAGCCAAAAATAAGTTGGTGAAACAGATGGGAAAGCGGGAAGCTGGAATTACTATATGAGAAAAATGAAAACTTTAGACTAATTTTAACTGAAAACTTTCATGCTTTCAAGAATTCCTTTTGAAATTATTATTTTTTTCTCTCTGAAGTTTCACATGCTTCTTGGGTTCTTGATGTTAGAAGGTCTTTTCTTTTTTAAATTTGATTTAAAAGATAATGTCTTTTTGTGGTCAAACTAAGATTTATAAACCTCTGATCTATCATTACTAATGCACTTTGCTTCTACTTTTGACAGCACATGATGATGGCTTATGAGCTACAAAGAGTAGGAAAAAATGCCTTTGTTCCTTGTAATTTGCCAGTATATTTTTATTAGTAATGTTATTTTGTTCTTTTTTGGGGAGGGGAGTGTTAAAGAAATGCATTTGTTTTCAGAGTTTTAACAAGTTTTCTTATTAATCGCTGTACAGTCCAGCCTTTTTTTTTCTTTCTGTTCATGAACTTTGTTAGGCAAAAAATCTCATTCTAGATTTTTTTTTGGTTGGTAAATTAAAAAATTGCAGGAATGAAATTCAGTATCATCTTTTAGGCTCGTATATTCATCTGATAAAAATCTTCAAGAATCTGAGGAACTGGCTATGATGAAAAAGGTTCTGGAGCCCAAATTAATACAAGAAAACAACAATGCTGCTCTTCAGAATGCTCCAACAGATGTAAGTTGTCTTGGAGATGACAAAAGTGCAGCAGCTGATCAGAATGCTCTAAGCAGAGCTGTTCAGAAAGAAACTGCTGCTTCACCTAGCAGTGAAGGGGAAATTCCCGAAATCATTGATGCAAAAAGTAACAAAGCCATGGCAGGTAGGTTTGCTAATATATTTTCCTTGGTTTTGTTGTGTTGTATTGTTTTTTGTTTGTTTGTTTGTTTTTCCTTTTAATTGATTATCCAAAGGTTTATACATATGTAAAAATGAGGGAGAAAATTAAAGTTTTTGTTGTAACACAACCTGCTTGGATATTCTTTGCTATGGTCTACCTCATTTTCACAAACCCTGAAAAAATGAATTGCTGGACAAATTTGGCAGGAACAGTTCCCTACCAGTCTGTCGTGGAAATCTGAAAGAATGTGCTAAGCACTGCTCATGTACTTCATCACTGTATCCTGCTTTTTCTCTGTAGTGTAGCAAACTTCAGTCCTGAGCACAGAACATCTCTCCCCCCCCCCATTCCCTGCCTTTTCTTTTTTTGTAATCATACTAGTTCCACGTGTCTTATTTTGGAATCTTTCAGAGCTTTCCCTACTGCAGTTGTAACTGCATCCATGCTGGAGGTGGTTGCTGCTACAGCTGAGTCAGTAGGGTAGGGTCAAGCAACAAATCTGTTCAGGCAGAAGCTTCTTCAAAGACTGCTTTTCTTGACTACTGGGGTACCAGAGCTTTGTAAAAGAAATGAACTGGCTACATGATCTTACAAAAGAGTAACTGTAGCACTCCTCTTGTATAGATACCTAACCAAAAGTGGTGGTCATTTTCTGTGCCTCTGCTCATGATGCCAAGTAAAACGCATGTCCTACTGCTGGCTCTGAAATCCCTTTCAAGGAGAATTCTATCTTGAGTACGAGTGTTAGAATCTGACATTTGAAATTTTTTTTTTCAAATATTTCGAATTGTATCCTGAAAATACTCTAGTGTACACCAGACAAAGTGAAAATGGCTACTTCTCCCCACCTGCAGGTAATTCCAAGCTAGAAACAGCATCTGCATTAGGAGAAGACTTATTGAGGCTCTACAAGAAATGTTGCTGTCCAGATATTAATATTTGCATAGAAGGCAAAGATTTTCAAGCTCACAGGTATATAAATGATGAGTTTCTTCTAAGTTTACCATTGTAAACCCATATAATGACTATTTCCTCATGTATAAATACTGTGTAAGTTTTTTTTTGCTGACTTTTCAAAACAAACCTGTGCTCTCTATAAGAAAAATCTATTAATAAACTATTCAGCTATTGCTACTGAATAAAATTACCATACAGATTAAAAAAAAAAAAAAAAAAAAGAGTTCTTTTTTCTACTCTTCAGAATCTGTGCATACAAAATTTGATTTTATGCTGATTACATCAGTCGTGCCTATGTACAGACTGGTAATCTGCATTCAGGAAGTCAGTGGCCTTTACTAGATCAAAAGTCCAAGACCGTTTAAGAACTTTGGCCCACTTGACTTCTGTAGGTTGGGAAAGTAAATTAAAGGGGCAGTACTATTCTTATCTTGTACATTTGATCAGTCTGTTTGCATGCAGTGTTTGCATCTGAAGTAGGAAATTGGAAAGCCTGTGTTTTGTTTGCTTTATGTACAAGTAAATAACAGGGAGATGCTCAAAAACCTCCACTACTTTCAGTATTTTCTCAACACAAAATTGGTGTACTGTGTTATATTATTGACACTGGAAACATTTTTACAGAAGATGCATCATATTAGTGGTGGTGGGTTGTTTGAGATTTTCCATTTGTTGTTTTTGGTTTTGTTTTTTTTTTGTTGTTGTTATAACAGAATTAGGATATATATTAGATTTCCAGAATGGACTGTGGTTAGGCGTGTTTTCTAACTCTGGTCTACACTATCAGAAGGCATGTTCTCAGAGTGGCAATGTTTGAGAAATGAGTACTTTATTGCAAAAAGAAACTGTCCAAAAGTATTCCATCATCTGAGATTCTTTAATTTAGGCCATTCACTGCCCAAAGCAATGGATCTAGTCTAACCAGCATTTTAAAAATGTGGCAGTAAATCATAGAGAAAGCAAGGAAATAGTCACAATAGTTGCTTGTTTTAACACCACATCATATGAACAGCAGGAATAAATAGAAGAAAGCTAACTTTGAGTACAATCATAATGAAAGTACCAGTGTGATTTAAATGGATTTTTTTTTGTTTGTTTTTAAATTCTAAGACTGAAGATAGTTGAATCATCTCAGTACTCCTTAATTTCTCACAAAGTCTGATGAACTTTCATTAGACTTTAAACCAGAGCAGCACTCTGAGAGAGTTGGCAAGCTGTATCTTACTGATGCTGTGTATTAGAGTTCTGTGCAGCAATACAGTGTGACCAGTAATGAACTTGTGGTGCAAACCACAACAGAAGAACAGATACATTTATGTCAAGTTCACATGGTATATTGATATATTTCATAAGCTACACTTTTATCGATGCTGTATGTTTAGGTAATAGGTACTTGTCAATAGTCTGCTAATGACTAAAATTCATCATTCAAAATTAGATGTAATGCATTTCATCTCTATGATGCTGTGCAAAAACAAGATAGCATGCTCAGATCTGTGACATAATACCCATTTACATGTGAACATATTAAACTGCAGTGTAATAGCTTAATTTTTGTTATTGCTCAGTATATCATTGGAGGAACGTCCAAGAAGTTCCTAATTTTAAATATTGAGGCTCCCAAAGAAAGAAGAAGAGAGAGTTATGAGCGACTGCAGAATATCTGACTAGAAAAGAAAGCATAAATAGCATTCTTCTTACTACTTCCTATGCAAAAATGAAAGTGCTATGAAACCTTTTAAGAGCCAACAAATATTTGATAAAAAAATATATATATGAGTATTCTCATGCCAGACATAACACTTGATTTTTCTGCCACAGGAAATAAATGACAAATAGGAGTTTTATAAATAACAGGAATCTTAGTAGGTGTCGGGGAAAAAAAGCCCACATGCATGAGAATATCATTTACTGATACCATAATCCAGATAAGATGCATAAAGGCCAGTGCTATAACTGGTATAAATCTGTAAGGCTGAAATCGTAAAGCAGTTCTCATCTACTATCTTCTCTTGCTTTCTGCCCTTTCACTTCCACCATAAGAGGCTCCTGTTGCAAATGTTTCCTCATCTGTTCTCTGAACACCAATACAGGGAGAAATATTGCTGGCCTGGGGTTTCTTTATTGCCTTTGAAGTAGTAGTAAATTGGATGAGCCCTTTTATAGCCAGTTATGCCTTTTGAATATGCAATATGAGGTAGTAAGTCTAAACAGAATGGATAGCTCTTCACAAATAGTGCTGGAAGCACACAGCATACTGTTGGATTATGTTGTTATTAAGTTGTTTTTTTTTTTTTTACTTCTAGGATGTGCTGGTAGGTGGCCAGACAATGTTGAGTAAAAATCTTATACTTTTCATTTAAACAGAGAGACACGTTGTAGTATAAAGATAATTTGATGCAGAGGTTCAGGGTGTAATCATTTGGCCAAAATGATGCTGTACAAACAAGATAATTTACTCTATTGGGCCAATAAAAGAGAAGAAATAAATGTGCAGCTTTGTATTACATAAAAGGAAAATATCTGTGACAACAGATTTCCTCTTAGTGGATGTCAATCATACTAGAAGGAAGTTGTAGCAGAGGAATTTAGAGTGCTTTTGTTTTATTCTTCAGTATATTTTTAAACTCTAAATATACTGAGGGATAAGGCATGCAGTATGCAGATGACACCTTAATAAATAAAGGGCAAAGATTAAAATCAGTGTTATCAAAGAGTCTCATAACAAGTATTTGTATCTAGTGAAATAACGCTTATTTTTTTCTCTCTCAGGGCCATTTTATGTGCCAGATCTAGTTACTTTGCTGCTATGCTGAGTGGAAGTTGGGCTGAAAGCTCCCAAGAGCACATCACTCTTCAAGGGTAAGTGTTGTCTTTGCAAGCTGTGTGAGAGCAAAGGTATGCAATTTAAAATCACTGCAAATATATAGCAAGTGTGGTGTGCACTGAAAGTTAATTTGCCTTGACATTTTTGTTCAACATGATACATTTCCTGACTGCAGTTTTGAAATGGTGTATGTATATTTAAAATGTCAGATGGCTCAGGGGAAGTCTTTTTTGTCAACAAAAGGGTACTAATACTTTTTTTTGTAGTGTATTTTAGTATTCAGTCTATTTAATGCTTTTACTCCATGTAGTACATGTCATGAAAAACATCACAGCTGGATGAACAGTGTATCTTCATAGCTGTTTGTACAAGCATATTTACAATGTAAAAACAAAAAATATCTATTTCTTAATTAGTGTTTATTTGTTTATTAATGATATCATACAAAATTTTGACTAGTGTGCTTGTTCATCATGTGTAAGAGCTGAAAATAACTGAGTTGTCAGTGCAGGACAAATACTTCAGACTTTATATCTACAAACTGAGGGCCGCCAAATTAGTTACGTTCCTATGAAGAAAGGTTGAGAGATCTGTGCTTGTTCACCTTGGAGAAGACTCCATGGAGACCTCACTGTGGCCTTCCAGTACTTACAGCTTATTTTCAGGAGGGAGACCAACTTTTTACGCAGGCAGATAATAACAGGACAAGGGGGAATGGTTTCAAACTAAAATAGGGGAAGATATAGGTTAGAAGTTAGGAAGAAATTTTTTTCTCAGAGGATGGTGAGGCACAGGTTACTGAGAGAAGTTGTGGGTGCCCCAACCCTGAAATTATTCAAGGCCAGGCTGGACGGGGCCTTGATGGGGCGATCCAGTGGGTAGCAACACTGCTTGTGGCAGGGGACTGGAACTAAATGATCCTTAAGGTCCTCTCCAACCCAATCTGTTCTATGATTTTATGGCTACCATGTGTGCTGCCATGCGTGTCAATTTTCGCTTTCTAGTGTGTTTGCAACCATTTTTATCTTTTCTTTTTAGTCATCAATATCTGTTGCTTAAACATGTCTAACATTTTAAGGGATCTTAACTCAGTCTGCATGTCAAAGTTCCTCTTACAGTAATGTACACAGCACTTACAGGTTTCGAAAATTTCACACATAACTCTGTGAAGGACTTCCAGATTTTTACTCTGAATCCAGCTGTAAAGACTTTGTCTAAATATTTTGAAATACAACATTCCTACCTCGTGTTATAATAAAACTACTGAATCTATTTTTACTGCAGGAAAAGCTTAAATATATTTGTAAAAGTAATGAATTTAAAATATTATAAAACAATTGTGAAATATGTCTACTTAAAAATTGACTTATTACCACTAGTAGAGGACTTAGAAAAGATTTTAAAAAAATCCTTGCTCCATATTATCAGCATAAATAATCTCAATACTTAGATAATTGTCAAATCTTACTTATAGATAGTCTGCTTATGACTAAAAAAACTACTGAATATGAGTTCAACCAAAATATCGTCCATATAGATACACTGCAGTGATCTGAAAAATATATGTAATATTATCAGGTCATTCCTGATAATTCCATTACCTTCCATTCACAGAATGGCTGGATGATGCATCACCCTTTTGATAAAATTTCTTTTATGTGAAGAAGTGTGATAGTTTTACCTATACTTGTTTTTCATCTCTATTTGTGTTTGGGTTTTTTCTTTTTGTTTTTTCTTTGCAGCTTAAGCCATACAGAAATGAATGTCATCTTGCATTTTATATATGGAGCTATTCTGGACTTCCCAGATGAAGTTGATGTTGGGTATATGTCAACCTTTGTTACTTCTAACTGTGTTATGTGCTTGTTCCATAATTTCTCATTTGAGAGTCTAAAGGAAATTTCCTCTTGTAGAGTAAATACAAAGATGTAAATATCTTGTGAATAAGACAAAGATGTCAAGGGCAATGATTATTACACTTAAACATATTTGAGGAAATTCCTATAAAATAGCTGTTGAATAAATATTATTTATTCAGCAGTACTGGAAAAGGCGGACCAGATGTTTTTGCAATATTATGTAAAGACAGTGAAAAACAGGAGGATCTATAGCTGAATAATGTATGTTTGCTTGTACATTCCTTTTAGCTTTCAGAGCAATACCTACAACATGGTAATATATAATAGCAAATATTTGGAATGTATTCTGAACCCATCACTTGATGTAAAGGCTATGTAGTCTTAAATGCCAATATAACTGTTGGCATTTTTTTCTGGTACAGTTTTTAAACTCAGTTTCATGTTGCTATTATATGATAATCCTGTTTTAGTAAATTCTGAAATGTATGAATTAGTTTCTGAAATGATCTGTATGTTAACTTTAGAACTCTGCCACTAAATGTTTTTAAAAAAACCTAAAATAATATGCCCTGTAATGTCAAAGTTTAGATAATTAATTGATTATTGAAAATAAAGTGAAGGTATTGATTATTATATGAAACTGTTAATTTTGTGGTCACTATGCTTTTTACTATTTGGAAGGGACACAGTTTTCAGATGTAGTGTAATCACTAACATTTTACATAGTGGTTGGGAAAATTACAAAATGCCAGAACTCCACTGGCAAAAGTACCTTCTTCACTTGTTACACTTAGGGTAGAGAAACTGAAAGTTCTTATAAACTGTTCTCAGCCAGGAACTGAGAAATTCTGACTGAGCAAAGAGGTGAAATTAGTATGTAAACTGTCTTGTAAGCAGAATGCATATATCCCAATGATTGTTTGATTCCTATTGTTTTTACTTTCTTTTCAGTCGCATGTTGGGCATTGCAGATATGTATGGGCTAGATGGGTTGAAAGAAGTAGCTATCTACATTTTGAAGAGAGATTACTGCAATTTTTTCCAAAAGGTATGTCAGTTCTCATGCTACTTTGTGAACCATAAAGCCTAGAAGAAGAATTTTGATTTCATTACTTACAGATAGTATTGATGAGATACTTAACAGCCATGTAGTTTGTGTTTTGGCTGAAGTCAGCAGAACCTGTTCCTATGTGTGAATCTGTTAAACTCAGTGGGATTGATGATGGCAATAAGGCCTGTGTTATTACCCACCTATTTATAGAAACCGCCAATAAAAAGCAGTATTCTACTCCACAAACTAGATATATTAAATTATATGGAATAAAATGTAAAACATTCCATTGTATATGTAATTATTCTTAACAGGAGTAGGAATATATAAATACTACATACTTGCGTATCAGATTTCATGGACGTATAGTTAAAATATATTTCTATTCAGTAAAAGCAGTTTAAAAATACATAACTGCATGCATTAGACTCGTTAAGCTGAGTGCTACTTTATTAACCTGTGCGGGAACAGATGACTTCCCTGTTTTGCATTAAGGCAACCAAACCTAAATCCTGCAGCAACTAACACTAGTTCCATTTGAATTTGTAGCTCTATACAGTTTCTCTACAATAACTGTGATCATTTTTTAACTTCAGCCTGTTCCTGGAAAACAGCAACCTGTACTAGAATGCATGGCTATTGCTCATTCACTGGGAGTGGAACACCTATATGCTGCCTGCATGAAGTAAGTTAAAATATAATAAATTATGGTTTATATTTTGTTTGTTTGTTTGCTTCTCTGCTTTCTATTTTACTTTGAGAGATTGGTTTATTTTGACTTACAGAAGTTCACATTTTAAACGCTTTTCCTCATAGTACTTTAGTGGAATCACTTGCACTAGAACATTTATTGTCATTCTTACCTAAAAAAGACACTTTTTTGTATTTTTTTCAACAGATGGGTAGGAAAACATTTTGCAAAATGTTTGTCAGAAAGAAGTTTTGCCAGTCTACCTACTGAACTGCAGAACAACTGTCTTGTTATGTTGATTAAGTCTTTGGTAAGTAGTGTATAGTGTGTTTTATATAAAAAATGATACTACTTTTTGAAGTGTATTTAGCTTTACAATGTAATTTAAGAGAGAATTTCAGTAGTATTTTAGATCTAGAGTACAGTTATACGGAGTAGAAGTTACCATTAAGACAGCAGCGTAGGAAACAGATTTTAATCTGCAGATGTAACTGCTGTGTTTCATGGAACGCAATCTAGAGAAAATCACACGCACCCAGCATAATAATAAGAAAGAAGTCTGTGAAACACCGCTGTGACTTCAGCACAATGCTGTATATTCAGAGTGTGAGCAACAGCAAATTGCTGAATCAAAGATTATGTTAGGTGGCGGCATGCACTGTCTGTGATTGCCTTCTCCTCTTTGCCTATGTTCTAGTTTGGAAAACTGTACCTTTTTTTTTTCCCCCAGACTTCAGGCAATCACTGATTTTTCAAAAGTACTGTAACCTACCTTCACAGGTGACAGCAGAGAATCGGTCTCCTCAGCTCAGCATTCATTGTTTGCCATATATTTACATTGTTCCAATCTTGATCTGCCTAAGCTTACATATTTTATAATTGTTTGTGTATAAAACTGCCCTCAGAGCTGACCTATTTGAAATAGAGCTGTTATTTTAACAGGAATTTGGCCCAGTAATTAGCCTATAAATACAATGAATCGTAATAGAAATGTGAAGAGTAGGTAGAGGACCTAAGGGTAAATTTGTACTGCTGTTACCAGGTATGACTGTATATGTAACTAATGTGAACTAGCATACACAAAGTTAATCTAGGTAGCAGTCACAGCATGATTGTGTTTTGTGTTTGTACTAGACAGCTGAGTATGTTATTCTGAGGTCTTCAGAATGCTTTTATATCTCACGCTTAAAACTTTATTCTCATGTCATTGGATTGTTGTTGTCCAAGGTAACTAGCTTAGGTATAGCTATCCATGCTGCCAAACATACTACCTAATTCAAGAGATGTATGTCAAATAATTCTGGCCAAGAACTGCCCCTCAATGAAAGGCTTCCCAGGACCTTTTTGGATGACTTAGCAAGAGAAAACTTACCTCTTCAAGTGCTGAGGCCGGTAGGTCAACTATAAGTGGTGGCTACTACTGCATGTTCAGGTAAAAGCCTGAAAAACAAGAGATTTCAAAGCTATATGGCTGTACTTGAAGAAGACTGAGTATCCACAACTATAAAAAGCAGTCGTTCTACCAGCATGCTTTGAATTTAAACAAAATGAAGATAGTAGCTATAGCTTTCAAGATAGTATGTTGTTTTGCCACTGTATTAAATCAGTACACTCAGTTCTTCCTGCAATATTTAGGTGACTTTGTGGTATGTCACACAATGTATAAGTATCTGAGAAGCTTTGAGTATAGCTTTCTGGATTGTAGATCAGTGCATTGTGATCTGCACCCTTCTTTAAACTAGCTTAAGTGTACTGCATAGACAAGAGTGTACTGTGGACACAGCTCTAGGCTCCCTTCCAGGCAGTGAGACAGTAATAGGACAGCACGAAAGTAAACCCACACCACTTCAGGTCTTTCTTCCCTTCTGTGCCTATTACAATAAGACAAGATGCTGTGGATGCAGTTTGTGCTGAAATACGTGATTTTTCTTTATCTATCAGCTTTTGCACAACAGTTACAGACTGTGGTACTGGGTACACTCCAGCAGTGTACCCAGCCCCTTCAGAAGATTTTGGAGTCTGGACTAAAGTGCATTTTGGTTCGTGTTCTAGAGAGTTAAACTTTGGTCAGTCTCTGTAAGACTCACCAATGTAAACTGAAGCCTATAAAACTTCTGTAATCACAAATTGAAGAAACAAAACATAAGCCTCATCTGCCCACAGAACAGTTCTGCTGAGTGATCATTTAATTCTGAGCAATTAAGACCCCGTCCAAACACTTGACCTCAGTCTGAAGTTTTTAAGAACTCAAAATCTACAAAAATGCTTCAAGTTGCTTAAGGGAGAAAGAAGTCTAACACAAATTTTGCAGGGACTATCCTGAGTTTTGCAATCCTCACAGTGCTCTGTCGAACTTCTTAACAGTTATACCAGTTAAACAGTACCACCCTTTTTATTCTTTCATTTATCAATTTTGCAAACATAAAACCTTATAAATATGGGGCAGTCCTTAGAGGACAAAAAGGGGCAAAGGGAAGGAGAGTGAGTAGAAAATCTCTGGGAAGGCACTGCAATAAGCACAGAAATGTTAAAATGGGGTTTCAACTAATTGTAAGAAAATTGCCAATACTTTTTAGGTAAGTAACGTGAATTTGATTTTAGAATGGTTAGAAAAACCATGATGAGAGAAGTAAAATTCAGCTGAAGCCCCTCCAGAGAAGCACTGATTTGATTAGATGATTAAGTCATGTGTTAGCTGCCTTCAGTTACTGTGTGGATAAATACTTAATACAAGTATGAACGAAACAAAAGCACTGACCAGGAATAGATATTAGGAAATTAATTTTTGTATTTTAAATGTATCTGTAAGCACAAGAATTATGTTTCTTAGAGAAACGTTAGACAACAAAGAAGGTAAATTCAGTTAAAACTCCAACTGGGAAGACTGATATTTGAGGTCTCACTCCATTAAATAAGGGAAAATGATTCACGCCTACAAAAATGCTTGGGTATTTATATATTCTGAATATCGAGCCATCCACACTCACTAAAAATATTCACTTATATCATTAAAAAATTTATTATGTCTTTCAGTGACCTAAAAACATTTGATCTATTCAGTAATTCAGATAAGATTTTGTTCTGTACTGCATAATGACATTCAGTTATTGCCTAACATCAGTAAGCAAAACAAAGCAAGCAACAGACTTTTTTTTTTCTCCTTTAGTTTCAGAGGTAGCTATCATGTTCAGAACTATCAAAATCCAAATTTTTTTCAAAAAGGAAATGAACACATCACTGGATCCTTGTGCAGCATTCAGTGACTGAACAGAAGTTCTTTTACAAGCAGCAATTCTTTGGGCAACAGGCTAATTTTTGCTTCTATTTTAAGAACCACAAGAATGTTGCTTCAATTCTGATGGAAAGTGACCGGCTGATCAATAGTCTTCCCCAAGTGAAGTGGACTGAGAGAGCTGTGGCCGTGGCATCTAGGCTACAAGAAGAATGCTTAACTTTTATTGTGGCAAACTTTCTACATGTAGTGCAAAGTGAAGGCTTCTATATTCTGTTGCAGGTAAAAGTGCCCTCAAGTTGCTCTGTTTCCAAATAAATTGAATTACATCACACTAGGTCAGGCTGTTAAATAATCAGGATAGGTACAGCTTTTGCTTCAACATACAATTATAGGGGGAAAAAAATAGGCAATGCTAAGTTTAAGTGTTGTTAACCCATATTAAGGGTTAATACCTTTTTTGAGTATGTGCCTCAGTAAGAATAAGTGTTCACAGAAGAATTCAGTGGGAAAATCTCTGTGTTGCATAGAGACAAGTATGTACACAAGCTTCCCGAACTTCGGACTCCTGGACTGACAGCTTGTACTTATAGGAATAACTATTGGCAGCATACTCAAACTTCCACTGATTTTTTTGTTGCAAGAAGTTGGCAATGCCATAGATCCTAGTTAGAAAATACCTGTTCTTAGCAGGTAAATTTCTCCAATGGAAAAAAAAATAAAAATGTGTAGGGGATTAAAAAAATAAATATGGAGATGTTAAAACATTTTGTCTTTGAATTTAGAGTTTTCTGTGGAGACAAATTCATCACAGCATGTTCGATCCTAAACTTTGGGTTAGCGGGAGGTCTCAAGACCATTCATTAGATGCCCAGAGTAGAGCATGTATGTAATGGATACACAAGAAAATGCTCAACTTTTGGAATGCTTACTGCATTGACACAGCAGCAGATTCTCTCTGCTAAGTAATGCTTTTGTGGATGCAAAGTACATTCTTTTGTTTTAAACATCTGCCTTCTGTTGTTTTCTCAGGCACAGGCAATGAGCAGCAAACCCGACCTCCTAGAACTAATTTTTAATGCAATTGAGGAAAATACAAATAATGACAATAGCTGCTTTCTTCTTGTAGCTGTGGATACGTTGTTGGACTCTGCAGACGTGAATGAGTTGGTAGGTTTTGCAACATGCAGTGTTTGTAGGACAAAGTACTCAAGTATTTACACTTCAGAGTTCCAGTTGCATGATGTAGTTTGAGTACAGTTGGCACAGTTCTGCAGATGGGCAGAAAAGCATCTGCATAAATGCAAAGACCTGCTGGTCATCTGCCTATGATACTGGCATTTATTTAGTGGACATTAACATTTTTTTCTTTTAAGGAGAATTACTATGTATGGCAATAACAATGTGTATTACTGAGAATGTAAGTCCCATGGGCACTACTGCTCTGCTAATCTTTACTGCCGCCTTAAATTTGTCATGAGGAAAATCTTATGAAAATGTTAGTAAAGCAGCATCATTTGACTACGCATCTTTTTCCCCTCTTTTTGTAAAAGTCACAGCTATGACTTTTTTGTCTCAGACTTCTGAAGCAGGGACTGCCTGTCAATCAAGTGTGTGTTTTTTGGACTGGGGGGAGCTGTCAATCTCTGTCTAACATGTCACGTATATTCTCAGAATCTAAATAACGAATAAAGATACTTAAACTGTGGTTGGCTGGGGATAATTCATGAACAATATGACATACTGATTAAAATCCAGAATGATGCTACAAGCAAAGAATAAATGCAAAATGAATTACTGCAATCTGGTGCTATTGTAGATCTTGGTAAAAGCAATGAAAATTTAATCAGATACATTATTTTTCCCTGGAGTATTTGACCTTGTTGTGACACAGCTGACAGTAAAGAGCTATTAAGGGGTTCATTAAAAAAAAAAATAGGAAAAGGAAGAAGAAAAAAATAGCATGTAGTGTTTTCTAGTGCTTTAGTCTGCCTTGAAGAGATTTGATGTCAAAGTATTGTAAAAATTACCATGGTGGGCAATAATCCTTCAAAAACAGCATCTCTATCTACCAGGCCATTATAAAATAAAAGTGATGACATCATTGATCTAGCTTAGGGAGTAAGTAGATTCTGAAAGGAATAATGACTGGTTGCTATGACAATATGCCTCTCGCCAGCTGCTGATTTGTTACTTGAACACAGGGTTTTACGTGCAAGATCCAGGCTCTGCGTGATAAGCTCTGGGTCTTCCTGGTTCAGTCTTTTTATGCTGTTCGTCACACAGAAGGCTGGAAGCTGATGAGGCCAGACCATCAACAGAAAATACAAGCAGGTAAGTCTGGCATCAACTGGCATTAGAATTTTTTTAGTAATCTGTTTAGCAGATAAAATGTAGGTGGTATTGTGGAGCCAGATACAAATCAAAGCACGATTTGTCATACCATGGGTTTCTGAAATGTTATTTTAGAATAGATGCATAATAGCATGCTTAGGTAGTTTCAAATGTAGAAATCAGTAAGTCTTCCCTGCTTTTATTTTCAGGAGAGTATATACTAGGAAGCAGAAATACCTAGATTGATTCTACTCTTGTTTACAGCTACTCCAAATCATTTAAAATACTGCAGTGCGATTAAAAGCCTTATCTGTCTCATTTTTAAAGAGATAAGCACCATGGAAGTATTAAATGTACACAAATCAGATGATCCGTTCTATGAATTCTGTTTCTATCCTTTATCTTATTCTACATAATGCATAAATTTTGCTTGTCTCTTGCATAATGCTTCTCCTGAGCTCCGGGAGTAAACGCAGCCAGCTTGCCTTCACAGTTGATTGGTATTGTGACATTGTGTGTGCTACTGCAGAGAGCCCCTAAGGAGCTGCACAGTGTTCACTAAAAATTGTAGCAGGCAGCACACCCAACAAAAAGGAGTTTTTGTTCTGTGCGTTTCTTTGTTTTGAAGCCCACAAGTATCCTGAGGGTGCGGAACCAACCATGGAGTTTGGGCTGCGGCTGAATATTAGCTTTGACGGTACAGTGCTGTAACAGGAAAGAATGTTTAAGACCTCTTTAAAATCAAAGCACTTTTGATTCAAAGAAGGTAAACATTTCAGTGTTCTTTTTGTTAAAGACTTCAGGAGCTAGCTGTGGGAACTACAGAGCTGTTTGTGCCGACAGGCTGATGAAAATTTTATTCCAAAATTACAGCATGCTGAGAGAAAGATGCAGCGTCAGTCCTGGAGCGTGATTTTGGGGTGTAGTCAAATAAGATCTCACTGTTACTGGAGAAAACAGATTTGTGATTGTTTTTTTCTGGATTATGAAGTTCTTCTGAAGCTAAGGAGCTGGCTTCAGAAAAGAGAGGGGTCTGTTTGCTTTGTTCATATGATTGTTCCCTTATTGTAAATAATGTTCAAACTGTTTTACGCTAGAGCTTTCAATACAAAACAAAATACTTAAGACTGAAATGTGCCTTAGTTGTCCAAACTCCATCTTGCCAGATACTGTTTTGTTTTCTTCTAGATTAAACTGTAACCCAGAGTTAGCATACATGTTATTTGTAAACAGCAGGGCTGTGTGAATTATCTGGTTTTAATTACAGGCAAAAAAAATAACGTAATACTGGTAGACAAATTTTAATCTTCAAGTGAAATTGGGCTCAGATAATTTAAATCGACTTCTGTCTTAAAGATTTCTGGGAACGGAGGTGTGTCTTTTAGGATTTTAACCTACATAAAATGGGTGGGAACACTGTAACAGGAGGAAAGACGCCAAAAGAAGACAGATGATATTGTATTGTGAGTTTTATCATTCCTAATGTGTCTTGTGTTTTCTTAGGGACAGGTTTGCATGGATTTTATCTTAATGTATTAGTATGTTTTAAAGTGCAGAGTCATTGCTGGAAAAGGATTAGGTCCCCAGGGTGCCATTTTCAGCATATCTTCTATGATTTTTACAGCGCTACAGTTAAAAATATTTTTGTTGTCTTAAGAATTCAACAGAATTTTTGTTTCATTGTTACACACGGATACATTTTTGTGTATGCACAAATACTACATCACAGCACAAGGGACTGAATGATTAATTTTTAGTAACATTGCTTAAAAGCTCTTTTTCAACTAAAACATTTGGAAAAAAAAAAAGGAAACCTTATCGATTCGGGGTGCGTACACTGACTATAAATATCCTTTTCTATTCTGTAAACTCAATTGATTTAAAAGCTTTATTGAAAAGCGCTTCTCTCCCAGAGTAGGGAAAAAAAAAAAAAAGGCATTCAATGCGTGCAAATTTCACATGACAATCACAGGGATAGCTCTCATGACATGCAGCTATATGCTATTTAGAGAGGCACTGTGACCTTACTGTGTACATTCAGATAATTTGGCTTTGCCACTGTTGAAAACTAATATAATTTAGCTTACTGTAATCAATTTCCTTTTAAATAGTATAATTTATAATTGACAGTACATCACTTAAAGGTCACTCTAATTCTGGCAGTCTCTCTTTTTTGTAAATTTTTGTACACAATTTCAAAGGCCTCAGTGCACTTCAAGTGTTACATGAGGTCAGACTGGATCAACAAAAGTGTGTTTTCTCTTTCTCTATCTCCACAGTAAGGGTTAAACAACTTCCCTGTGGCCATGTGATGTTACAGAGATCACATTTCTCGTTCCAAACAGAAAACCATATTTTTCCATTTAACATTTCCCATGTCACCAAAATTAGCCTTCATAAAATAAAGATGAATTGCTCTGTGATTTCAAATGAGTGTAGTCAGAATTGTTCTGTTTTTTCTGCTAAATGATCAAAAAAGGGCTTTTCCTTCTTCCAGCTGCATTTGACAAGGGTGATGACAGAAGACTTGGCAAAAAACCCGTATTCACTAGTTCTCAGGTAAACTTCATCTCCAAACATCAGAAGCTTGAAAACATAACTCTTTTCATTATTTGTTTTATATTCAATATTAATTTGTCTAATTTAATTAACAGACTTTCCTTTTGGAGAATTTATATTCCGTTGGTGAACTTCAGTTCTGCACAATTAGCAATGTCCATTATTTTGAAACCTTTCAGGACTTGGCTTTATGCAGATAAGCTCAAATAAAAGATAGGAATTTGTGTTCAGAATCTCACATTCCCATGTTGCTACGTAATGAAACTGATCTGTTTCCCAGGCCAAATGGTTTGCTCCTGAGCTAATGAATCTCTGCTGTTGTCACAGCCATGGCAGCACCGTGTCTGTTCACTCCCTGCCCTGAAAAAATGTTCCTCTGGTCTCAACAATGCTTCTGTTGAGATTCACACTCAAAGTTACATTACTGTTTAGCAGAAAACTAGCGTGGGTTTCATATGATTTGATGGTCATGGATACAGTGTAATTACATGAAGATTCCATTTCATGTACTTAATTCTCCCATCTTTCAGAATGGCTTTGCCTGAGAGTGAGCATAATTACTGTCACTTCTCTGGTGGATGCACTGTTTGGTAATGGCTAAGAAAGAATCACATGAATTTTAAGTTAATTCTTATGTCTGTAATAATGTATAGCCTTTATTCCTCTTTGGAAAATATGCAAATGTAGCTCAAAAAAAAAAGTTTTCTTCCATCATCATGCACTAGTAATACACATAAAACAAAAATCTGTATGAAGTAACACTTTTTCTTTAACCTCCGAAAGGCAGCAACCTGATCTGAAAATATAGATCTTAAAAATTATTTCACTTTTGAAGCTTGTTTTAGATTCCTGTACTACTTATGAAATAGCTGTTTCAGAAATTAAAGATTACCATTACTTAGTGTGATAAATTTATTCTGTTTTCTTTTGGATGCTTTTTCTCTAGCTAAATAAATCCATCACTGAATTTGCTGGTAAAAGGAATACTTCTTGGACAGAACACAGCAAGAAAGATTGCTGGGGAGATTCTCCCACTAATCAGGATAAAATGAAATCTGATGGATTAGGAGCATCTGGACATGCATCAAGCACCAATAGAAATGCTACTAATAAGACTTCAAAGCATGAGGATGTAAAGGGAAAAGATGGCAAAAAAACAGTTTCCAAGCTTAATAAAGATTTAAAACCTGGGGAAAAGGCTGCTTCACCAAAGGCTAGAGCTGTTATAAAAACAAAAATAGAAAATAATGGAAATGCGAAGGCTGAAAGCATGCTAGCCAAGCAAGATGCTGAAAAGACATCCAGTTCAAGTGGACAAAAAAATTCAGGAAGTGTCAAAGGATTAAAGAACCATGAAGGAAAAACAGCAGGTGCCAGACCTAAAGTGCTGACAGTAACCTCAAGTGTGCCCAGCAAAACAAAGCCATTAAAAAAAAACACTGGGAAGGAATCTCCATCCACCGCAACTGCAGCAGGAACATCCAGCAAGTTAACAAACTCCAGCACGGATATCCAGGCTGCCAGTGAACAGACAGAAGAATCCAAAGAGGAAAAATTGGCAGAAGAAGGAAAAAAACATACTGGTAATTTTTTTTAATATACGTATTTATTTATTTATGACCCAAAAAAGTCTTCTGAGTTGTCCCAGGCCAGCCAGGCACTGACAAACTCCCTGGGGAAGCCTTAGAAGAAAACTATAGATTGTTAAAAGTCCCCTTCTTTCCCTGTAAGCGAATATTAACTCCAGAAATTATTATACTATTAAATACTTTACTAATTAGTACATTATTAGTATGCTAGTGGAGTATTAAATTGATAGACTTTGTTTTTTAAAAAGTCTGTCCTCAACTGCTATCCATATGAAATGTTGTAAGTTCTACAAGTTTAGCATCGATCTGATTTTCAATTGCTGACCTTCATATACTAGATTTTTTTTTCAGTGATATGCACTGCATTTTATCTGATAATTAATTTGGAATTTACTTTACAACAGTGATAACGAAGTCTTCTTTGAAGACATCAAATGGAGTTGCCAACAAAAAAAAAAAGGCTGATCTTGAAGTTAATGTCACAACAAACAGGTTTGTCACTAATCAGCACGGTGGGTTTCGTTGGTGTGTGTGTGCACGCATGCTTGTGAAATGGTATTTTTTCAGTTGAACTGTTACACTTGCTATTAAAAGTCAACCTGTTCTTTTTATCCTGAGAATATTTCAGAATGACTGTCTATCACGTTATTAACAAAATACTGAGTTAGTGATTGGAGCTATTTTGCAAATGAAAAATTGGCTTGGTTTTTCTATTTTTTTTTTTCATGCTAATTGTTTGAATGTTGTTGTAGGTCATTCAGAATTCTGCATACTGGAACATTTAATGACTATGCAAGGTGTTGTAAAATTATCATTTTGGGGATAGCTTAGACTGAGTTGCAAAAGCATTGGACAGGAAGAAGTTCAAACCCTGTGAAATATTACACTTGTCATTTGAATGTTGATATATGAGTATGTGTGCCTGTATGCATATATGCACATATATAGGTGAATGTACATTTTCTTTCCAAAAGAAGTACACCTTTTAGGTTGGATTTTTAATGTTTTTATGTACGTGTATAGATTTAAACACAGATACTGCCTGTTTAAATATAATCAAACATTGCTAATCTCTAGCTTGAAAATAATGCAAATGATTTATTTGCAGTCTAACAAAAAAAACAGCTGGAAAATTGTCTAGTGAACAAAATGCACAAGCTGTTCTAAAGAAGAAAGGGAATGGGAGCAGCAATGCTGCAGCACAGCAGAAGGCTCAGGACACGCCTACCCATTCTCCTAAGAACCAAGGTATAGTTTCATATTGCAATGAAACAGCCCTGTTTGTGTTTTTTCCTTTTTAGTGTAAGCATTGGCAAAATCTTGTGAGCAATTCTGTTTTCCATATTTTACTTTTGGTGACAGCCCTAACCCATGAAATGTATCCAAGAGTCAATTTTAAAATATTTAGAGATGGCCTTCAGTTTCACTCATTGTTTTCTTCTGCTTGTTTAATCTGCTTTGCAGAGCCTTTTACTTGCAGTTACCTTGTGCCACTGCACTTACAACTAGCATTATGTTCAATCGAAATCTGTAGGTCCCCCTAGTTAATGCCCCCCACAGAAATTGCTCTACTAATGCTGACCTGCCTCAAACTAATTTCCACCACAAGTGTGGGAAATGACTTTATAGAGCACAGAGAGGAAACTCAGCATTACAGAGATACAAACCATTCAGGACGGAGCTGCTCTTAATCTCATTTGAAGCTGGCACTCACCAACAGGGGTAGGAAAGTGTGTTCAAGTTGCATTATCTTATATGCTTTACGATACAAAAAACATTGATCCTGTCAGTTTATGGTCATTAGAGATCTTGCAATTAGAGTCAGGCAGAGCAGGGATATTAATTCTGGTATTCTAATCACATTATAACTAATGTAATTATTTTCTGCCTTCTTTCATTTCCTCTACAATATAAATTAAATACAGTACTCATCACTTCCTGTGCTAAAATGCTGTGCATGTGCAGTGTTATTATCCCTATCAGATAGCTGCTGCTTTCTGCTCCAGTGATGGCTTCTTCAGCAACAGGTCAAATTCCTTTATGTCTACAACGTGCTTTAGTTCCAAAGATGGTGTGTTAAATACAAGATGCTATTTTCATCTTGTGTTTATATTTAAGATCTCTACACTTAGTGCTTTAACAAGCTTTCAGTTCTCTAGTTGCATAAAAACTTGAATAACCTGCTTCTCAACACAAATACACACAAATATAAATTCAGTGCATAAATGTTGACTAAAATGTACGATCTTTATTTTACTGTTTGCTAGGAACTATGGGGGAGTCACCAAACTCACTGAAATCAGGAGTGTCTCCAAAACATAATGAAGAAAGAAATGTGGCACAACATCTGGTTCAGACAACACCCCCAGAAAAACATCCTTTGGCCAAGAAGAAGAATATTAAGCCATCACAAACACCTGCAGCAAAAGCCACTGCAAAAATCATAACACCCAAAGCTCAAACTCTGTCAAAGCATGGTGAGATAACAAACAATAAAGACCCCAAACCAAAAACAGCTGGACAATCTGTATTAAAATCTCAGTCCTCTACTCCAAAACATTCAAGGAGCGAATCTCCTGTTGTCCAGAAGAATATGCACACCTCTGAGCACAGAAGTCCAGGACAGAAACTTGGAAAAAATGCAGCTGATGTGGCAACTGTTCAGCCTCATGACAACAATGAATGCTATTCTGCAAAGCAAAGCGAATGTCTGAAATCTGTGATGGGAGGTAGCAGAGAAGATGAGCTCTTGGCATCTTGTCAGCCTGATAAACAAAAATCATCGGATCCTGAAGATGGAGAATGCAAAATACAATCAAAATCTCCTTTACTTATAGGAGAAACGGTTTCTAAATTGCATGTTTCATCGCAAAATGAAATGGAAGCAAGAGAAATCTGTGGAGATCAGGCTGAAATTACTCAGAATAAAGACAGAAATTTAGCTGATAACACTGATGAATTTTGCTGTCATGCACAGTCTACGAGAGACGGATACTCAGACTTTTCCAAGGAAAGAAATCAAAACGCTGCTACTTCAGAAGAATGGGTAGAACAGTCAAAAGCAAAAAAAGTCTGTATGGAACAAAGTGATCAATTAAGCACTGATACGGGTCTTAACCATGGTGAAAATATTTTACCAGGCTTTTCCAAAGGAATAACTAATAAAGAGGATGCAACATCACCTCCTCACATTCACATGGAGGGATTTCGTCCAGCTGATGAGTCATGTGGCGCATCAGCCTTGCCTGAATACAAATCAGTTACAGTAGATTTAGATGATATTTCAAAACATTCCATAGAACAAATAAGAGACAAATGTTCACATAATTACACGGAGTCTATTGATCCCACAGAAATGCCAGAAAACCATGAAAATGCAGAAATTCCCTTTGTGGACCACTGGAATACTGGTGCACTAGATCCAAAAGAGAGTCCTGAATCAGATACTGGCAGTGCAACCACATCCTCTGATGATATAAAACCAAGATCAGAAGATTATGATGCTGGAGGCTCTCAAGATGATGAAGGATCCAATGAGAGAGGGATTTCTAAATGCAGCACTATGTTATGCCATGATTTTCTTGGAAGAAGCAGCAGTGACACCAGTACACCTGAAGAATTAAAAATTTATGACAGCAGCCTTAGAATAGAAGTCAAAATGAAAAAAGAAGGCTCTGATCTCTTCCGTGTTAATTCAACAAGTGATGATGAAATACCAAGAAAAAAACCTGAAATTTGGTCTCATCAGGAAAGTGCAAGGAACAGTACGAGAGAATCTGAAAATTCTACTTTTGGCAATGCACAGTTTACTCAGGAAGCAGACCAAGTTTCTTCTTCTGCTGATGAAACAGAAGATGACAGATCTGAACCAGAAAATGTTGCAGGAAACATTCTTTCATCAAACATCCCTGCTCAGCAGTTCCAAGGAATTGATAATTTAGCTTTTGAAGATGCAACAGAAAATGCTACTGCAAGTCAAGAGTTTTCTAAAACTAAAAGTTTCAAACGATCTGTTTTACTTTCAGTAGATGAATGTGAAGAATTAGGATCTGACGATAGAGTGGAAACCCGCACTTCACGTCAGCATTCAATAGATTCTCTTACTCCTTCAGATGTATTTGACAGTGTTTCCCAGGAGCACCATGGAAAGACTTTTTATTCAAGATACTCATTGGAAATTGAAGATGGATTCTTGGATTGCAAACAGCCTAAGGATCAAGATGACAGAATGGGTGAAAGTGAAAGTTCTCTCCAACATCTTCACGGTACCGAAATCCCAGGGAAGGAGGATAAAGGTGCTTCAATGACTGAACAAAACTGTGCAGAGGAAGTACACTCTGTAGCTAGTCCTTGTCCAGGGGAAAATGAAAAAGTAAACACAAAGAATGAAGTGGCTACTGAATTTCAGCAGTGCAATAAATACTTAGACAATGATGCAAAATCTCAAGAAAGACCATGTCATCTGAATCTTCATCAAAGAGAAACTAATGCTGATATGCAAAAGAACAACTCCGCAAAACCTGTAGAAGCCAGTAAGAATCAGATACTGACTCAGGAAGGCCAAGTGAGAGACAGTCAACCAGCACCTACTGAATACGCTAATACTGATTTACTTCCAGGTAATGTACAGAAATAGAAACATTCAGTCATTCAAAAGCAAATTACTAGGGAAATCTTTGGCAATTTGTATGGGATTGAATCCTGAACTGAAGTAATTTTGGCTAAAGTTACATTAAATTTAAATATTTTTAAGTATTTCACTTTGGTACTGAATGATTGTCTGTCTGAAATATCCATAAATACTGTGCTGTTCAATGAGAAACATCGAAAGAAATTTTAATGTAATGCTAAAAGAAAGATTGGATGCAGATTTCTGTACTTAAGTTATTTTTGATCCAATCTAACATTGACAGCATCTGATGGAAAGTTAGTATTTGTTTTGTCTGCTTGACAACATATAGTATGTCTGAATGGGATGTGCAATAACTACAGTAATAACCTTAACTAAAGCGCACTGAACTGTTTACCTGCACAGCTATATGCATTACTGTTGTAATTTATTTATATATTTCACATAAATTTGGATCCTTCTCCCACTGAATATAACTATTTGCCATAAACCAGTGGGAGCAGGTTTGAATTCTGACTTAGAGCTTTTGAGATGTCTACGATTCTAAATTTTACCAGTAAAAGCTTATTTCCTAAAATAGAGATTATACTTAGAACTGATGCTTACACATAGAAAAGTTCTAATTTGTTTCATGTGGCTAGATGAAATACTTGTCTAGTTGTTTTGTGTTTTGTCTTCTTTATACCAGTAATTCAGTCTGTTTATCTCATCAAAAATATACAATAGTGTTATCAACTATTGTGTATTCAAGAGTAATAAAAAACTGATGATCTGTGTTCAGCCAGACTACATAAAAAGAAGACATTAAAGCTGTACTTTTTTTTTTTTTGAAGTTTGCTTGCCCTTGCCCGCAGCTGCCCTTGCATGTGCAATGTGGAAATAAGCCTGTGGATAAACTATTTTGTTTTTAATTCTTTTCTAAGCTGACATAGCTTAAGTCACCATACAGTAATCATTCTCTATTAATTCTCTCCATGCACCTCCTGGTCTAAATTTAATTTATGTAGTAAATGAGAAATTTCATGTGCATTAAATGTGTATTTACATTGTCATTTTCTGTATCAGAAACTTAATTATGGAGGTTATTGTTAATTATCAGTGGTGATTGCTGCTTTAACTTAATTTATAAACCATACTTTGTTTTCTATATAGGAAATAAATGCCTAAAATTTTGTCAATTTTGTATAACCCTCCATCATTCCCTTTATAACCTGGTTGGATTATCTTTCCTCAATGAGTTAAGTTTTGCTCTACACAACCCTTGAGGGGAGGATCATCTGCAATTTTTACATTGTACAGTATTGTGAATTATTTCAGGAGACATAGATGATTATGACACAATGGCACAAACCTGCATGTATGAACATCGGCCTTCAAAAACCCTTTCTCCAATATATGAGATGGACGTTGGAGAAGCAATTGAGCAGAGGATGGATTCAGAAACAGCAGTTCTTGATGTGGATTTTGAAGATCAGCAGTTTGTAGAGCAGGACTGGACTCTTCTCAGGCAACTGTTATCTGAACAGGACTCAAACATAGGTTTCAAAAACTCGGTTCCTGAAGACCTTAATTTAGCACAATGTCTAATCAATCAGACGCTGTTTCTGGCACGAGATGGTTCGAATCCTCAGGGTACATCACAAGTTGACACATTCAGTAGATGGACTGAACTTATGTCTCCACTTGATGATTCTTCAGCAAGCATTACAGTGGCAAGCTTTTCATCTGAAGACTGTTCTTCCCCTCAGGGGGAATGGACAATTCTTGAACTGGAAACTCATCATTAAGGTGATCAAATGTTTGCAACTAACTCCAACCCGTTCCCCAAATCTATTTTTGATGTGTTGTTTCCATACAGTGAAATACTGCATCAGTCAAGAACAAGCAATTCTTGGTACTGAGGCAATCTTTCTGATATGAGGTAAATATGTTAATTTATAATCTAGATTTAATTGCAAGTACAGAAATTTTTCAAGTCTTAACCATATGTCTTTTCTAAAATGACCTTTGAGCATGTATTTTCTAGAATTGTTAGAAAAATTAGATGTGAAAGAAAGATCTTGGTCTCTTCTCTACTTTTATCTTCTTTTTGGCCACTTAATATGCTCACTGAGCAAGAACTTAAAGATAACTGCACCTTTAGTAGGGTTACTCCCTCCTTTTTTCCCCTCCCTCTCTATATGGTGACTTCATTTTACAATAATAAAGATTCAGACTGGTTGTATCAAAAGGTCATGTGTGCCAACACTGCTTTTAATACTAGAAACATTTTTGTTCACAGAAGAGGTTTCAATAGGAATCCTGTTTGGGCTTGTGAATAAGAACAGATTGTTTCATCTGTTGCTGCCAGACTTCATATTTTACTACTTATTGTTTGCTTTGTTTACAAGTTTCTAATCTTTTTTAATGTTATTTCCTTTGAATACTTCTATATAAAGGGTCTGTGCTAGAGAAAGGGCATCATTTCTTCCTTGAAAATGTACTTAAGTAAGTTTTTTTTATTGGCATAGTACATTAATTGAGAGGAGTTGGGAGAATACTGCTCCTGTTTGAAAAACAGCATGTCTGATACTTGTAAAAGTATACATTTCAAGACCTGGTAGAAATTATCTGGTCTGGTGACTCTTGTCTTTCACATAGTTGAAAGCCTGAAGTATTCTGCCTCCTCTTAGTCACCAAGAGGAAAAGTGCCTTCATGAGCCATGTGGCAGTAAAAGGCTTCTAATGGTTTGGGTTTTTTTTTTTTAGACTGTTTAAGATAGACATACAACCTGTGCTGACTATAGCCACTGGTAATAAGGTCAGTTTTGCAGGCTTTTGTGTAACTCTGACAATGCACCTTAATTTTGTTTAGGAACTTCATTTATTTTTGTTCATGATCAGAAACTCTCAGCTGTGCCAAAATATGACTGAAGACATACCTTGTCTTATCTTTGGATTTGACATAATAAAGAGCTCTGAGGCAAAACATCTACTCAAGAATGCTACTTTGTTGCATTTCTGATACAGAAGTAAAAATGATGTTTTTCACAAATTAATTGGAAGAGGAAAATTAGGTCATTCTTTAACATCAAGAAAGCAGGGAGAAAAAAATTAGTTTTCCTTTCTGTTTGACAATGAACTTAAAAACCCATGGAAGAAAGATATTTAATATAATTATAAACCTTTCCCCTATACTTATTTAACTACTTACTGAATTGAAAAACAACTGACAACCAGCACACAAAGCTTCACATGTGTTGCACTGGAATACAATCATATTATAGGGTTATAGGTGTGTTTTGTTTTTAATAATTTTCAAACTATAGCTGAGAAAGTAAAGAGTTTCTCTTTTCAAGTTCCCACTGATGCCAGTGCTATTTCTACAATAGTTTTGCAGCAGACCAGTGCTGAGAATTTGGTGTATTGTTCTGTTGATGCTTACATAAGAACAGAATTCAGCTTCCCACAGCCACATAGTTTCTGCAGAAGTAGCAGGAAGAGAAAGCCATACTGTTTTTAATTCGTACTACCAGACTGCCTGTGAGCCTTAATCAGACCAGTATCCCACTGGCTAGACACTGTACAAACACAGAATGAAAGCAAGGTCTTCCACAGAGTGGTTATAATCCAAGTTAAGACAAAAAAACAACACAGATGGAAAAGTAAGAATCAGAGTTAATATTTGCCCACCTGATTAGCAATGGTTTCAGTGCACCATCAGCTTGAATACTTTTTCTTTTCCTCTGTATTCATTATGGGAAGGGAAAATGGGAGGGTAAGATTTGAAGACAGGATAATGAGGGACAAATGCTTGTTTGAAAACTTAATATACAGGCAATCAAAGCTTACACTGTGGGCCCCAAGTAAATTATAAGAGCTCCCACTGAGCTGCAAAGTGAGGACAGGGCATGAACACCTGAGGAAGTGGCAGAGGGGAATCAGTGACAACGAAGAGACAGCATAGTCAAAGCTATTGCTAAGGATTTCTCTTGGTAGTAGTATTTTAAATGAAACAGAGCAGTAAAATTGCTTTTGTCAAAACCTAAGATGAGAAAGGTACAGACAAAAGGTAACACTGACAACTTACATAAAGTTCAGTTGTGTGGATAAAGATGTCTGTACCCTACAGGTACAGGAAGCTGAGAAATTCAGAACTAGACTTTACAATGATGACCCTGCTTTCATCTATCCTGAATGACATTTTACCAAGTAAAAAAAAAAAAGCCTGTTTAACTGTTTTTAGATGTTTAACATATATGGACACATTAAGTTTAAAATAGGCTAGACCTTCGAAAGGTGATGTCAAAAGGTGTATTTACCATTCTTGCTTGGAAAGGAAGAGTCTAGATGGGACTGGAAGAGCTGTTCCGACCATTTTTACATATTACTGCTAGCAAAATTGTATTTGTGCAGCAAATCACATAGTGTAGAGAAGAAAAGCTGAGGCTGAATACTGAAAGCATCGAGGGAAGTAGAGGTTCTTTTAAAGGATTTGCTCAAAACAGAATTAGAGAAGCTAAGGAAAGTATCAAAGATAGGGACAGGAGTCAAATGAAGAAGGAATAGCAATGTTGAGGTTAGGTAAGAAAATGTTCATAGGTGAAATCAAAAGGAGATTCTGGCTTCTTTCAAAAGAATGGCTAGCAGATGCCCATTGGGAAGAATATGAGAGAATATTAGTAAGGAAACTCTTAACATGAATACATAACAGTTAGCAAAACACATTAGTTAACATATTTGGGTTTTAAAGTCATGGGATATTATATACATGAAGTACAGCAACAGAATTCAGTAAAAAAAACCAATGCTCACAGGCAGCTTCAGATAAAAATATGCACATTATAATAAAAATCTGAGTATTGTTGGAAAAAGATTAGTAATAAAGGTCAAGAAATATGGCTGCTGGCAATATTTTTTTTAATTTCTGGGTAATGTGTGACTTGAATGTACATGTTTAATAAACTTATTCCACATCTTTCTTGGCAGGGTATTAGATCTATTTCAAAACTGTACTGAATTCTCAGTTTTATTACTGGGAAGAGCCAGTAGGCAAGGAACTTCCCATTTTTCTCACACATACACTGTCCATAATATGAGTTCCCTTAACATTGTCTGTCTTTCAGGAAATATATGACAAAAATTTAAATCACCTGTTCTAATGACAGATTAAAGGAAAGTATTTTAAAAATATGAGTATATGTCATCTGCAAAGTAATTGCTAGCATGCTCATCCTACTTTCTGAAAATCTAAACCTTTGCATGAAGGAAGTTAGAACTGCTATTATGTTGTTCATCTGTTGCTCAGAACATTTGAATAGACGTGGTTTTGCTACCACTAACAAAGGAAAAAACTCCTGTTGACTTCAGCTGAAGCAGGTTCAGAACTTAGCTTTATTAAACGCATGCGCTAGAAATGCTCCTTTTCCAATACATGTATTTCACACTCCTCTGGTTTTTATTCTAACTTATAATATCTTACTACTGTAAATGTGACAAATGGCAGCTAGAAAGACTTCAATTTAGGAGTCATAATTGTATGTATTCTGTTAATATTTCATGACTAGAGTGATTTAACATTTGTACATTGATAGATGACATTCTTGCCAGGACTATGCAGGAACTGAGGACAAAAGATAGAAGCAGCAGCCCTGTTAGAACAGATGACTCCCTGAAAATGGGCTTTTAGATTTGCAAATACAATAGAAATAGAAGCTTTGATCTCTTGCAGCAAATTCATAGTGGTTTCCACCTGTATCTTTTGAACACAAGCTACAGAGACTGTTTTTCAAAAATAAGCTTTACTGTGTTAAGTTCTGGAAAAATCACAGCTCCAATTCATTCACTTAAAATGAAGCTTCCTATCAGCAAGTACTGCATATGTTGAAGAAAGCAATACTTGTTACAAAGGAAGATTATTTACATTAAAAGAGGTTCTCAAAAAAAAAATACTGGTTTATATTTTAACTGTTGATAACTATGAAGTGAATAAGCTATACAGGGCACATATGCACATGCACACCTGTTTATTCTTGCATTTGACTTTCCCTTTATACTTGCTGTGTAATCATCTGCCCTGTATAGTCAATTAGGCTATAGTTCTGCAAATGTAAGTGAATGCACTTAAACATTTGCAGACTGGCTTTCAGGTTAATGTTCACTTCTCAGACAGGGTAATGGAACTGGCACTGGGGGCAGACAACATGCATATTCATGTTATGCATTACTCAACTTAATGAGGCTCTAATCCTGATCAGCCATCTGGAAGCAGTTAAAGTATGAGATAATTAATAATGGAAAGCCATTAAGTTACTTCCTTGATCTCCTTAATTTACTGCTGGAGTTTCCAGCTCAGAAGACTCTTCAGTTAGAGAAATCAAAGTTCTGAAATACAACATTTTGCATTACATGCAACAAAAGATCTATTGTACCGTAATATTTTCAAGATCTGAAGCCTCAGTACTTGGGGCAGGAGGGCCAAAACCTCAGAAACTACATACAGTTAGCAAGGACATTAACAGTCAAAATAGTTTTTGCATGTTAACAGAAGATGACATAAACAGAGAGGATCAAGTGAATACTCAGGTCAATCTGAACAGATTCAGATGTACAAATCCAAGGGCAATTCATCAGATCTTATATTGAGGCACCCAAGTAGATGGGACATTGATGTTTTCTCAGCTCCCACTGGGGTTAGCATGAACAGTATCATATGTGTATTTATAAGAATCAGGATATTTTAAAGTATTTGAACAGAAAGATTGATAACCAGAATAAAGTTTCGGCTTATATATCAACTTGAAACCAAGCTGAGTAAGAGTGTAATAAATGACTAAAGTTCACATCCTCATACTTCAATCTTTACTTAGTCCTCTGGTACCACCCTGGGTGCCCCCAATCAAGCAGACATGTGATTATCTCAAACTTGTGCTTAATGAGATCACTTCTTCCATTTTTTCTTTTTATAAATCCCCTTTGAACACGACATGGCATCCTGCATCTCCATGGAATCATAGCAGTGTGCTGAAGATTAACGCAACTGGACAAACCAGATTCATTGTAGGTAGCATCAAGACTTTGTTGCCTCCATAGAATGAGGTAGTTTTCACACCTGTGAACATAAGACCCACCTCTAAGTGAAGTTTCTTATCTGAAACAAAATTCCTGCCTATATCACTGTGGTAGATTAAGAAATTAAAATCCCTGTATTTTGGACTATCATACTCCAGTCATTTAGATGAATCTTATTTATATAAGAGTAATAGGATGCAGTTAGAGAAGAGTTTTGAGTTGCAACCTGTAGTCCATAGCATTAAAATCCTTTTTTCTATTTTAACCATTTTGTCTTTGGGAGAGTAAGGGGCATGTTCTCAAGTTCTCAAACTGAATGCTTGCATGTTTTCAACTTGCTTGCTTTTCAAACATCAATTAGTTCTGCAGCTGAGGCCCAAGTAACTGTATTTCCAAGTGATTCCTCATGAGCCCACTCTTCTGTTTCCAGAATCACTGTAAGGCTGTGTACTTCCACAAGCTTTCTTCCCCATGCTACGTACTGGAAATTCTTAATTTATTTGTGTATGACAAACAAAAATAATAAATTCCACATGTAACTTAAATGCTGAGTCATTGTACTTCATTGAGTGTGTGGGCTGCTGCCAATATTAATTTTTAGCTCTGTAAAAAAAAAAATGTTACTTTTTCTCTCCATTCAGTGGACTTCTGGATCCACCTTCCTCCCCTTCAATAGGGAAAACACTACTTTTTTTCTGGATCACAGCAGAAGAGAACAAAACAGGTGATGGGTGTGAAAATGAAAAAGTGTTCTCTTTAATATTCATAAAAAGATAAGTAGCTTTGTGACTGCCCAACAAAGTCTGATATCAAAAGGTGCTGATTCAGAATATGCAGGATATGTGCAGAGAAACATGAACTTTATGAGAAATGCTGCCCTGCCATAAATGAGTTAAGCTATTATCTTCATCATATGGGAGGTCTCATCCCCAAAGCCCTCTATTACTGCCTAAGAGGGGTTCTCTACCATGCACCTAAGAGTTATTTGATATGCTGCCAGACAGAGCCCTATTCTTCCTCCCCGCTGCAGCTTCACCTGTATACTAAATGCATCTCGCAGACATGTGGAAGAGGAACACTCTTAAAAGTTAAAGCTAGAACATCACAGATCATCATAGCAGCAATAACTGTAAGTGATTAAGTGAGACCAACTCCTGTTCTCTACCATAAAAGAGCAACATAAAAAACACAGAATTGTAGGGGTTGGAAAGGACCTCTAGCAATCATCTAGTCCAACCCCACCCCACCAAAGTAGGCAAATCCTTTTATTTAGAACTATTGTGCTTGCTACTTGATTCAGTATTAGAATTCAAACCATGTCCCTCAATGCGCTGTTCAAACCCTCAAGAATAAGAATCCAAAGCTGCAGAGAAACAGATGGCCCTTCGTAACATCAGATACTTACGATGAGCACTGAATTAACACAGGTATGGTAGCATGAGCACTGAATTAACATAGGTATGGTAGCAAAGCAGATTTTAGCTCTTAATATCAGGCAGCAGAGGATCCCTCAAAATCACTTTGTGGAAGAAGTAACACGGGGGGGAAGAATGCTCCGAAAAATCTTTCAGACCCAGCTCTATTCAAACAGCCTCCTACTTGCCATCTGAACAATTATACAAAGAATGAAACAGATCTACTCACCTGTTAAATATATTTTCACTACGAATTGTCATTTTATTCCATCCTATTATTTTCTGTCAACATTGATGTAGTTCATTTAATGCATGTACACGTTAGACAAATTCAAAGATATTGATTTATAACACAGCAGTGCTTGTGAATTAAATACAACCACTTCAACAACAGCTCCTGCTCCGTACTCCAGGAATTTCTCCAATACAACAAAATACTAACTCATTCACTGTGCATGAATTCAAACCACAGATAAGCAGATGAGGTTTGATCCAGCTGACATCACAAAACTGCCTTATTATAACTGCATCTGTAGAGAATTCCTGATGTTCTCAACACCCTGATTTTTACACACAGTCGGGGCAGTCTAGAAAGGATCCACTGTGTCACAGGAAATGATTTCACAGTTCACCAGCCCTGTCACAGCCATACAGAGAAAGACTGCAGCCCAGACACCCCACGTATTTGTTATTTTCCTTTAATGTGCTGACTTGTACATTTACGCTTGATAGAAAGGTAAGAATTAGAAACATGACTTACTGTTCATAGCAGCACGACATTCCCACAGCCCTGCAGTAGGGGTAACTAACACTGGGTGCAGGTGAGAGCAGCACGAATCCACTTCTTACTCGCCTGAAACAAGAGAGAGGGGAGTCGTTTCTCAATCACTATGACACCTAACTCAGTTCCTCAGCATGCCACACAGCTTGCTATCTGACACAGATATTTTTTAAGTGTTCTATAGAGCTTTAGAAAGAAAGGTTTTCACTAGTATCTCTGATGTCCATTAGAATGACATGACACAACACTATACTTGCATTGTTTGGAACATTTAACAACTATTACAGTTTTGCAAGAAAGAAGTAATCACATAATTCAGTATGAATGGTTCTAAAACATGCCGCTAACACATACAGTATTTACTTCTTAGGTCAACTATTTCTAAGGATAAGTTACAGAATACAAATACATTATGTTTTAATTCTTCAAACCAATTGCTACTTTTTAATATCAAACGCAGAAACAACATTCCATTCCCACAAAAACCAAGTTTTTTTTTTTGTTTTTTTTTTTTTTTGTAAGTGCTTCTAACAACTGCACTTCTACTTTAGCATATGAAAGCAGCACTGTTCCCACTTACATAATGGCAACAGCAGCACCAATATTCCAACTCCTTCCTGGAAAAGCAGCACTGCTCTTGCTTTTAAATTTTTGTATTATTCTATGTTTAAAGTACCAGAGAAAATAGCGTGGAACATTCTTCCCCAGAAACAGACGCAGCACTAACTGCTCATTGCTGACGCTGCCTTCAGATCGGCCCAATGACGATGAAAAAAGCACCGCCATCACCGCTCACGGCGCCCCTCGCAGTGCCCGCCATCTCCTCACGTCCCTGTGCTTTACACAGCCTAACGGCACCGCGCACGGCAGCAGGCTCTCGGCCAGCCCTGCAGCCACCGGGCCGCTCCCGGCACGTCTCAGCTCTCAGCAGGTGCGGCTGGGAGACCTTCCTTACTTTTCACTTCTGAGAGCCCGCGAAGGAAGGCTGGCTCCGCAGCCACGGTCACCTGCAAGGGGCTGCAGCGCCTCCTGAGGGCCGCGAGGAAGCAGCTCCGGGCTCAGCAGCCCCGGGCTCCGCGGTGCCCTCAGGCCGGAGAGCGCCCCCCCGAGGGCGGGAAGCGCCAGCGCTTCCTCCGCCCCAACTACTCACGGCCCTACGGGGCCTCTGGGTTTGCACCTGTGCTCGATACCAGGTTTGTCAAACGAGCGGAGACTCTCAGAACGGAAGCTTGGAACGAAGCAGCACGAGGCTTCGCACAAAGCAGCTCTCTGCTCAGCAGGCTGCGCGCCTTGGGTGTGCAGCTGTGCCTTGCCAGCACGCGGCCGGGGCTCCTCAGGCAATGAATCTCCCCAGGAAAGCATTTCTTGATGTTGTTCATTCCTTCTGAACCTCTGTCCTCATTATGCCCTCAGACGGGAGCTTGTTACAAGACTTGCATAGTTATCTAATTGCCACATTACATAAAGTGCAGCAGTTGGTACCTACAAGCATCTTAGAGAGCTGGATTCTGCCTCAGGCTCTAATCAGACCCATAGTTATTAGTGCCTTAAGCATTCTATCTCCTCAATCAACAGATGACATTTATCACTTTTTTTGTTTGTTATTGTCATGGGGTATTTTTGTTTGCTTTCCTTTTTCTCCTAAGCTGCTCAGAGCGTTTGTAATGCTACAGCAGAAAGGAAAACACAGCAGTGATAGCAGGGTGGTAAAGTCTCAGCAAGCAAATTACAGCAAGAGAGAATATGCTCAAACACAGCAGCCATTGACAAAGAACCAAAGGGGGGGATGTCTACGTACCTTTGGAAGGCCTCAGGGGGGTAAGGCCTACAGCAAAAGATGCCCTCACCTCCACTGCTGGCCCTTAAATGAGGTCTGGGAAGGACTGGATCCTGGCTCCACTCCTTCCGGTCACTCAAGAGTATTGCATGCAGCTGAGCTCTCCTGGGTTGGCCCTGCCTTCCACCAGGTGCTCAATCACTGTTTGAGGCTGTGACTTAACATTTCTGCTACAGGATTGCAGCTGACATTTCCTTAGAGAGCCATTAGAACCGTGAAGATGACAGATAACAGCAGGCAGGAACAGTCAAAATGGATAACAACAGTTATTATGAGTACAGGTCTACAGGTACGATGCCGTTTGCCAAGAGCAGTGGCTACCAAAGAAGCACTGCAAGCAGTGTTATGTTCTGTACATGCAAACACTGTATACAGTGTCAACCAATATGCTTTAAGAATAAAGCAGTGACATTATCTGAAGTTGCTGCTACCATTGCATTCATTGTTCGGTTTTTGTTTGTTTGTTTTCTGTGAGTTTTTTTTCCTAGCTACTTCTATACATATTTAACACTCTTGCCATTTGCTATTCCGAGTTGCACTGCTCTAGGCTTGTCCTCCTGACTCATTGTTTTTGCACTGCACTGATGCTGCTTTCAGTGACTACTATAAATAATTCTATCAGGGATGTTTTTGATTTTCTGAACTTCTTCCTAAATGCTTTATTTTCTACTTTACCGTGTCAATGTTGGGATAAATTATTACTCAGTAAATGTGCAGTTCAGCTTAAAATAGCCTTACAGATAGTGATTTATATTTATATCTGTTCATTTCAATTCCCCAGTAAAGTGAAAGGGGCTGTCAAGGAGCTGATAATTAGTTCCTGCAGCTGAGGCTAATTTCATGCCAGCTTGAGAGAATTTAGAGGCTGAGGCTTTGGCTCACTATCAAGGATAGCTTGCGTGAGCTTGGCTAACAAGGTCACTGTTCCATCTTTGCTGTACAAATAGATGAATGGTATTGAAGTAAATCTTGAATTGCCTCAGTTTAAAGCCTGTTTATTATGAGATGACAGCCTGTAAGCTGTTCCAGTTTGGGAACTGTTTCACGAGCAGTGTTATCTGTAACAGTGAGAGGTATCTGAGGGTAGCAATCACATCAGCTACACCAGTGAAATTGGCTCTTACTCAAGTATTAGTATGGAGCAAAGATACAGAAATAGCTTAGGTACAAGTTGAAGATCTTTTAATGAAGACACTGTTTTGTATCAGTTTTGGTTAATTCTGTATCGTCAGCTTCCTCTTCTAGCCATGTAGCTTTTCTTTTCTTAAAGCGTTTCTTATTTGTGTGCTAAATAATTCCTTTCAGCAGTGGCTCTGAAGCAGAGAAATTTTCCAAAATTGTAGTTACATCTCATAAGCAGCTGTCACTGAGCATTCCCATTCCATATAAATGCAAAGCATCAATTTTCTGCTTACTGCCTCCTTCAGGATTCACTCACCATCCAGGCTTTATTTTGTATCTTCCACTAAATCATTACAACTCTCTTTATGGCAGGTTGCCTACATTTTAAATGGGTCATCTAAAAAACTTTTTATTAGTTAAAAAGGAGTTGGTAGTTCAATCTTTAAAATGTGTGGGTTTGAGCAGCTTTTGCAGAGCATACTGCAGAAGTGCTTTTTGCAGGCTGAAAAATATATCCAAACTCCCTCAATTCCTCAAATGATTACATTGCATAGTGCAATGCTCTAGTCTTCCTGACTGGATTGTGTTGTCAAAAACCTTTAATGAAAATCACTTCCCATACAAATCTTTTGAAATATCTTCCAAATGAAATGCTGACATCAACGAGAATAATGTAGTCTAATTAACTGGAGCTTTAGAAGTACACTATTGTACATTCCTCACTTCTGCAAATTCTATTTTAGCATTTATTACAAAAACAGACTGTAAAATGTTTGAGCTCTTTTATGTTTTATGGAATGGTTTCCTGTGGCATACTGAAGGTGTGCATACAAATTACAATTCAATGATTTGATATCTTTCAAAACAAACATTCTGAAATAATTAATTATTTCAGAATCATAATTATTCAGAATCAAAATCATAATTAACTGAAAATTTTGAATTAACATTTTATTTCCTTTTTTACAAGTAAGATATAAAAAAAAATTCTTAAGCAATGATGCTGAAGTTCTTTTATAACTATTCAATGTTCTGAGAATATTTCATCTAATTTGTTGGCTGAAAATAACCTGTTATAATTTATTTAGAATCACGAAATCTCCACAATTCTACAGAGGCAACATCGAGTTCGATACTCAGAATCAGTGGAAATTGGTTCTGTGATTTTTTCTCTTTCTGGTACAGTACTTTTTTAAATTCCTAAACTCTAATGAGGCACAAGATCAGGCTCTGTCGTAAGCTGTGCTGAACTGAATAAAAGCTGCCATGTTGGAATGTCATACAGTAGTGGAAGGAGAAGTAATTGCATATAGATCAGGGGCTGCAACAGAGAATTTCATGAATTAAACGTTGCTATTGGTCTCCACATTGTATTTGATGATAATCACTAAATTCTTCTTATAAGTGAGCAGGTTGAATGCCACTTAAACATAAAATGGTCATCAAGATATTTAGTATTTGTGGCTGTAATTACAAGAGAGCCTTGGCTTTAATTATCCAAGCTGAATTTGCAGACCCAGTGGTAAAAAAGGAAGCTGAGAAAAAGATTCTTGGTGTTGTTTTGATTAGGAAATTACTGAAACTTCAAACATGAAACATCTATCCATTCTTTCCAGAGCAGAGGATGCTTTAGACAATCAGATAACATCCTTAACCTGAAGTTTTCCTGAAACTGTAAGGACTAACACGGCATCGATTGGCCCAGTCTTTTGTGTCCTCTGCTGTTAAACCTCCTACACTTATGCCTTAACTTTGAACTTAACTTTGTTGATGGGATCATAATTTAATTTCTCATGGTAGACATTTTAGTTCAATTTGAAGATGTTGCAGGTGTATTTGCTTATCTTATTTCTAAATCAGAATTGCTGAAGTCTTCAATCAGTCTGCATTTGTTCTAAGTTCATTCCATACAGCAGATTCTTGTTCCTGAAACATATGCTTGCAAAGGCATTCAGATGTCTATACTTTAAGTGAACTGAATGCTTTTTTTTTTTTTTATGTTATGTTATGGTAGAAAATAACATCTGAGTTATTTGTAGTTTTATCCTAAAATTACTAGTAATTACTGGCCAAGTGTCATGATTGCATTAAACTGTCAAGATGATCTAATTCACTCTTTTTTTTTGTTGTTGTTGTTCTACTCTTTTAAATTAATGCTTGAGTAAGAATTGCTTGCTGATTAGGGTATTTGCAGTGAGAAGGATTAATCACATTGCTGACACAAATTCATATCAATTTCTTCAACAGGTGTTGCATTTATACTGGTAGACATTCAAGACTTGCTTGTGGGAGGGGAAGAACAGTTTTTAGAAAGAATTCAGAAGTTTATAAACATACATCGAAATAGTTTTCTGGTTTTGTCAGCTGCTCTCCATGGACCAGAAGAATGGAATGTAATGTTTAGGATTCAGAGAAGGTATTATTTCAACATCTATTGCTAGGAAAAAATGAAGTTTAACTGTCTACTCAGCAGTCTTGGATTCAGTTGAATTTTATTTTGCTCATACACTGCCAAATTAGCCAAAGAATATGTTTAATTAGTGGAAAATGAAAAAAATGTTAAGTGAATTGATCTGACATGACAGTTAACAAAAGGAGATGTTCCCTTCCCTCCCCCCCTCTCTCCCCCCCTCTCTCACTCCCCCCCAAAAAGAAAAAAAAAAGACAAAAAAAACCCTTCCCTCCCATGACTTTAGGCCTTTGTAATCTTTTTCAGGTTTTTCTCTCACACTGGAAAATGAGGCTATTTTCTTTAACTTTTTTGTCCTAGTTCTGGCAGCATGTTTTCATGGTAAATTCAAAATAGAATAAGTACGTTTTGTTCATATGAAAAGGCTTTGGTGTAAACAATAGATTCTTTACCAGGTTTTAAAATCTTTTCACTTGGAATAGTCTGTTATACTGAGCTAAAACAATGGAAACAAAGCCTGAAAAATTCCACTTTTCAGTATATACCTGCTTATAATGGATATCAGACTCTGTTCTATACTTCCATTCAAAACCATTTTCTGGTAGGTTCAGTAATCTTTGCAGCAGCTGATTTTCACTCCCGACATCAAAGTGACTCTTTGATGGAGTCTTTGATCTTTACCTCCTTGAAACTAACACCAGTTTTGCTACACCCAGGGCACGTTGCCAAATGCTGATGAATAGCTGAGTGTTCGGGATGAAATGTAGGAAATCTATTATCCATTTGCAAAAATTCCATAAATTTTCATGAGAGTTCTTAAAAGCTCTGCCATCATTCAGCTAAAACATATTTTTCAGCTGATGGTAATGCTAACATTCAATCTATATTTCAACTGATCTTGTATGTGCATTGATCACTAATAAATGTGATGTTTTGAAAACATGCTCCCTTTAGCAACTCAGCAATTTTATTTAAATAAAAATATTAGTTTTATCACTGCAGGCCACACCAACTTGATTATGGCACGGCACAATTATACCTTAGATACATGTGCTTTATTACTAGCTGGCAGCTAGGAGTTCTGGCATTGTAGGTAAATCAGTGACCGAGCTTTTGCACTGGTGGGATTGGAACATGTGCTACATTCTCAAACCATAAGTCATACGTTGGATTTGCTTGGGTTTTTTTTAATTCTCTGATTAAATTATATAGACTTGGACATTCTAATAAAATTGTTAGAATTATCCCATTATCTAACCGTACAGATTGTTATATTTAGGCAGTATACTAAGACGTATTTCAAATTTGGAGGTATTTTTAGCTCCAAATATTTTTAGATCCTTTCCTGTGTTTTGTTTCTCATGGAAAAAATAAACATTTTTTTCTGCCACTTTGAGAACAGTCTTCAACAACACAACAAAAGAGTGTTTTGTTCTCCCTGAACATAAGCACACTTAAGAAATTATGACTGACTGTCAAGGAGTCCTGGAAACAAAAAAAGCCCTTCAAAAATCCCACCTGAGCAAATGGTGTAGAGATGGGATAGATAGGTATAAAAAAAGCCAGAATTTGCCTGTTGCCTTCAAAGATAAAAGCAATTTTATTCAGCTGAAGATGAAAGCAACTTGTGGTGCAAAGAAGTTGTTTACATTATGTGAGAATGTTTTTTGAATTTCATGGCATAATTAAATGTGCACTCTGAAAGTAACCTTAATTTATTTTGATGTGTAGATTCCTGGGAAGCAATTTACGTATAATACCAGTTCATAATTCTGCTGAAACTGTTAAGTTGATGCTAACTATAGCTAAGGTAAGTCTAGTTAAATATGATTAAAATGATTTACTCCTCAGAAGTTCAGAGGTATTTTAACTTGGAAAACATTTGTTTTTCCTTAATGAATCTTTCTGCATCATATTGACTACAATCATAGAATCATTTGGGTTGGAAAGGACCTTAAAGATGACCTAGTTCCAACACCCTGCTCTGGGCAAGGTTGCTACCCACTGCATTAGGCTGCCCACGGCTCCATCCAACCTGGCCTTGAACACCTCCAGAGATGTAGTATCCACAGCTTCTTTGGGGAACCTGTTCCAGTGCCTCACCACCTTCTGAATAAAAATTTCCTTTGAATATCTAACCTAAATCCCCCCTCTTTTAATTTAAAACCATTCCCCTTTGGCCTATCATTATCTGCTCATGTATGAAGTCATATTACACAATCCATGTTTCACCTTGAGGTGGGATTGTTGCTCAAATGCTTTGACTGAATGTTTTAACAATTGTTAAAGGTAACTTAAAATCAACAGAATGCATGAAGACAAATGAGACGTTTAAGAGTTAATTCAGCTCTTATTTATCTGTTAATTTAGGATGTCACCATACTTAACCCAAAGAAGCTGTGGATGCTCCCTCCCTGGAGGTGTTCATGGACAGTGTGGATGGGGACCATGGCAACTTGATCTAGTGGGTGACAACTCTGCCCAACAGATGATAGATCTAGATGATCTTTAAGGACCCTTCCAAACAAAGCCATCCTGTGAAATTAGAATGTCTTCATTTCACTTACTAGCACTGAAGCAACATGAGATGAAAAAGAGATCTAAATATGTAACTGCTTCTAAAGTAAAGTAGTAATCTGAAAACACTTGTTATCTGCAGATTTTTAAGTGATGCACATAGTTATACATTGTTTCTACAGCTTAACAAGTATGATTTAATCCATGCAACAGCAACATACCCTGTATGTATAAACATCCTCGTTGAAGTCTGAACTGCTTTAAATAACATTTTCCATGAGAATTCTAACTTAGATGCTATCTACAACAATGCTAGGACCATCCCACGTACCAAAAATAAAAGCAGCAGGTTAGAAAGTGTGTTAGAAACTACATCTCATCTATTGTATGGTAAGAGTTGATGAATGCTTATTACAACATCGAACATTGTATTTTTCTGTGCATGGATTCTGCTGCTGTCTGGCCGAGTTTCTTAATGCAGCATTAACTAAAAACTTTTAAGATTACTGTTGATCCTATAAAGTTGAATCTGTTCAGAATGAATACACCCAATTTCAACAATCAGCCCCATAAGAAGTCGTGATAGTACATACCACAGATATCTCAGTTGCCTTTATGTTATTACTGATACAGTACAGAGTCAATCCAATGAGCTCTTGTAAGAGAGTCCCTAATTATATCTCCTAGAAAATAAACTTATTTTGACCTAGGATAAGGAACATGGCCAAGGGACCAATACCATCCATCTAGTCCAAAGCTACCACACCAACTCCTGTAGAAACACTATCTAGATAATAAGCAGATGCAAGGCTGATAGAAGTAGTTACGTTAGGACTGTTCTTACAGACACAGAGAAATTGAGTGTTCATTTTTCAGGAATGAACCTTTCCTTCTCATAACATTTTTCTTTCCTCTAAGATGAATTCCAAGCCACGTGCAGATGATGTTTCTCAGAAAATGGCAATGACAAAAACCCACATAATAGAAAACAGTCCAGTCTGGAAGATGCTTCAGGAGTACCAGAAGTTGCATAGTAATTAATTTAGTGATAAGTTTTATTCATAAATTAATTATAGCAGCTACACTTTAAACAATATATAGAATGTTCTTAAAATATCCTGTTGCATTTAAAAAAAACTATATACACAATTTACACATTTGAAACAAATTTGTATTAAATAACTCTACAGTGAAAAATAGTATACATTATACCCTATATGTTTTCTAACAAAATAAAAATGTAGTTTAACTGCACTAAAAAGACGTTATGCTGATAATTTGGTTTGATTCTGAACGTGTGCATTCATCTGTTTATAATAATTTCTCAAATTATGTAATAAATCTTAAGGAAAACTTAAGATATCATTAGAGATAATGATGACCAAAACAATTTCAAAATACAGGTTCGCCAGGTTAAAACACATGTGCATAAAGCCTTACAGTGCATTTTTAAACACAAGTTTTATCTGTTCTTTTACTGAGTTTTAATATCTTACTTGGTTCAAGGCTGATGTGTTTTTCTTTAAACCCAGTTTGGTTTGCCTTTATCTATTATCTATAGCTTATAGACCAGTTTGTAAATATTGAAGCTTGTTTGTCAATATTAAAAAGTACTAATAAAAATAACTACTCCTTTAACAGTGCTTTTTAACTCACAGCTCTCCATGTTACTTTATAAAAATCTTCATAATTCAGATCATCAGACAGCAAGTTATCTAAAATACTGTGAAAATGAATAGAACAAGAAATGCACAGTCATACATTCTTACCACAGCACAACACAAAAACGTCTTGTAGATATACGTGCTATACTTCAGAAAAAACACCAAGTTCTGAAGATGAACACTTTAGTAAACAGGGCATCTCTGTGATTACAGACAAAAATAGCAAAATAAGTTTGTTTTTGTTTAAAAAAAAGCCAACAGAAAAACAGAAACAGACATATGAAGAGCAGGATTTGTGATTTTTCCAGAGGCCACTCTAAGCTACTCGCTAAAGGTTGGTATAGCCCTCTTTTCAACTCAAATCTAATGATCAAAATGATCTTGCAAAAGGTATGTTAACTCAGATATTTCAGTTGACCTATATATTTTCATCCATTACAGCTTTTACTTTCACTTCAATGAGCTCTTCTACTCGAGCTAGAACACTTTCTATTAAATCAAATGTGAAGAGAGCTGAGTGTAAAACCTGAAATGACAAAAGAAATACTGTTATTTTTATTAGAAAAATTGATTTCTTTATTGACTATATGCGTACGTTTGGCTCCTGATTAAAAAGAAAATTTAAATTCTTCTGAAATCGCAAACTCACCTGAAGTTGCATTTCAGTAGTCATGGCAGGCATCTTTTCCCCACTGACAGTCAAAGAACAAATTGTGTTAGAACTGTGTGCCTCTGTAGAAGAAAAGAACCAGACATCAGGCTGCTGTTCCACCCAATTTTTAGAATCAAAACAACTTTCAATAAATTAGTATTTATGGACAGTAATTGTTAAATCAGAAGCATAAAGGCTGAACAAACACTGAAAAGGAAAGGGACTGAACTTTGAGGATCTCTCTCTGCTGTTTCTATATGATTTATGACTACATTAGCAAACAGGCAATATCTGTAAACTTAAAACAGTTTAATATTGCTAAAATTCTCCTTAAAAGGAAATATATAATATGGTTGGTTTTTTAGATACAATTTTAATACTTTCACATCCAGAGATATCTAAGATGACAGACTTAACTTCATCCAGAAAATGTCTGCAGGTTTCTCTGTTCCTGACAGACTACTTACAGCAGACAAAACTACAAGGACAAATCTTGAAACTGAGGGGAAAATTTCAACATTCAGACTATGTACCTGAAATGTAATGTCATGCTTACAAAGATTATACACTGGGGAGAAAGACTAAATCATTTATTTTAATGAGGTAGGTGTCTTCTCTTGAACTCAGATCTCTATGCTTTGTCAAAGGCCAGAGACATGTAAGAAACTAAAATGAACCAGGAAGCTTTTTCTTTAAATGGACTCCCTTTAGAAAGATATCCACAGGTTATCTTCGAAAAAATCCTTTCCCTCTGCCTTGTACTTACATAGTTTATAACAACACGGAAGGATGGGACTAGGAGCAAAAAGCTGTACTGACATTTCTGGCAGCAGAAGTAATTTCCTTGGGCTATCTTAATTATACTAGAGACCATAAAGGGACAGAAGATCTGACATATACAGAGTTGGCCTACAGCAGCTATAGCTTTCACTGCCTTTGGAGTGTATCTGCTTAACCCTGAGCAGAATCTAATTCTAAGTATAGATAACGAAAATCCAGAACGTAATCCTTCGGGCTTTAAGACACTACCTATTTGCTGTGAGAACTATTTCTTCCTTGTTAGCCTTCCCACACCTAGTATGAAACCTAAGGCCTATATATTCACACAGAGGCTTAGATGTTCTTGTCTAACCTTACAATCAAAAATATAAATGCAGAACAAGGTTTGAACGTTTTCATGTGACATTCCTGTCGGGTCTCTGTAAGGTTTACAAATGCGATGAAAGATAAACAAGCTCAGATTTTCATAGTTACAAAAAGTATTAATATCAAATATAGCAACTGCTGAAATATTACGGGAAACATGGAATAAAATCAATAGAATAAATAAATAAATATATATCTATAGAGCATTCACCAATTTCTTATTTCCAAAGTTTCTGAACATGAACAACGCTAAGAAAAAAAACCAACACAACAAACCTCTCCCGTTTTCTTTCTTATTCTTTATTTCTGCCTCATAGTGTGCTTTTGACATATTCAGTCCAACATGCAGTGGTTTTAAAAAATTCTTCTCAATCTTGGCAAGTGCAGTCCACACACCAGTCTATTCAAAGAGAATGGCAAAGAGAAGGTTGCAAATTATTTTTAATGAAGTATCACAATGTTAAGTTTTCAAGTATAATTTTTTTACTAGTCTTTAATATATAAACCTCTGTAGTGGGAAGGAAATACAAAATTAGACTTATGCATTTAAGCACACACTGCATGGTGATAGTTTAAAAATGTTTGAATTAACATTCCTGAATTAACACTGCATTGCAATGACAACTGAAAGCTTTGGTAAATGTCATGCTCCTCAAATATAAAACTCTTGTCTATATATTGCAATTAGTTTAAGAAGCACTGTCAGAATGTTACTAGATATGCTGCTAAGCCCACCTTTGCATTCTCAACTGTCACAGTGAATTACATCCTACTAGTATGTAGGAACTATAAGTACTTCTTTTAAGGTCTTTTTACCTATTGTTTTTAGAACATGTACCAAATATGGACCATATTCCAATCTCCCTTAAAACACAGTAAGCAAAAGTATTAAATATTTGCTTACTGCAGAATCCAGTTGTTTTTTTTTTTTTTTTAAGTTGTACCTATGTTGCTACTACCCACTAACAAGAGTTCCAACTTATCACCAGTTCTGCTGCACCAGAAATCTGGATTTCGCAAGCAAGTGATGACCCCATAAAGGCTTTATGATGTAGAGATATTGTCTTCCCAACCACTGTCTTCACTACACACATTTATATAAATTTCACATAGAAACATAAGATTGAAATAAATACATACATTTAATCAAAAACAAGCATTAAGCATTTTACTAGAGTTAAAATTTTAATGAAATCCCTAATTAATCATATTTATTAAAAAAAAGCTGTTACACTGCTATGCTCTGTACTCATTTATCTCATTTATGCCCTTACGTGCAGTAGCCAAAGTGATACACGAACCAACTCTCCAGTTTGGGATGGCAGAAAAGAATTGATAACAATGGTGCTCAGGAAGCAATCAATAGGAGGGAAAGTTGCTCAAAAGCAAAGCTGTTCAAGGTTACATGAACATGAGAGCATAAGAGGAAAACTCTGCTCTGGTACCTCATAAGCTTGCAGTTATAAAACTGCTGTAGAAGGAAACATAAAGCAGTCTTTGTGTCTTTAGATACAGAAGCCATTAAATGACTCCTTTCCTCACCAAAGGGCAGGGTAAAAGATGATGAAAATAAGAATTCTCAACGTTAAATGGTACTGGTGATCACAAGGCACAATTCAAGAAATTCTAATCAAATAAGACCAATAGTTACTTCCACATTAATGGTGATAAAATGAAGAAATAACTATCCAGAAATATCTGATTTTCTTCTTGATTCATGAAAGCACTTGTTATGCAGCAGTCAAAACATGTGAACTAAGATGAAAGGAATTATTATCTTTGTGTTCCATTTGCACTGTCTGAAGGGAGCCGAAGGGGAAGCCTGTAAGAACTGGCATGGCTTAAATTTAAAGAAAAACTTCAGAAAAGTTGATGTTATTTTCTCCTCAAACCATAATTATATTCTGTATGTCAAATACTAGATGGTAGTTGCAGCAACTGTGTATGCTACTATGTATAGAGTTTTAATAATAAAAGAGAGATTCTTTCTTTGCTTACAAAGCTATGTGTGTATATGAAGTACAGCACACTATAATGGGGACGTAAGTTAAAATCCTTCCATACATCTGAGAAACTGATACAGTCTATATCTACTTAATTAAATAACATAAGAAATGCAAAATTGAAAGCCATTTTTACGGTTCATTTTCCTGATGCTTTTAGTGATCAGTACCAACCATATTATTATCTTTCCATTCAAACACCATCAAGCACTTACAAAACATGTATTCATGGAACGAAATGTGCTCTAAAAGTGGATCAGAATTTTTCCAGTATTTTAGGAGAAAATGAGATGCCAAAGTCAATTAGCCCAAACCATAAAGTCAACAAACTGGGGAAAAACAACAAATTACCTTGGGATAATTAAATGCTGGTTAGAATATTTGTCTGACCGTGCCACTTCTTACTGAGTTCAGGAAATGCTTTACTGCACTCTAATAAAAGGATTAGCTTCTTTACTGTAACAGTTAAGTACGAATGCAATCAAATTTCATCAGAATAAAATAAAATATCACACATCTCCAAATACAGCTAAAATACCACTTCTGGATTACTGACCATTTTGGAGAATAATGCAAAAACTTATCTGTGAACAGAAAATAATAGTGTTCACATGAATTCTGCTTGGTCCACAGCTAATCAAAAATCAATAATTTTCACATCAATTAGTACTTACTTGATTATCGCTTTCACAATCCTTAATGACTAAATATCTCAGTAGATTTAGTGATGCCATAATCCTGTGAAATAAAAATATACTACTGATCACTTAAAGTGCAGATATTTATTACAGGGATAATAACTTAAACTGTCCCTTAGCCAGACACCCTAAAATATCCATTTGTTCAAAATAAAGCCACTCATCTGTTGAGCAGTATGGCTTGATCAAGAGCACAGCAACTTCCTTGTTACAAGAGAAGCTGACACTTTGCAATTAAGATTCAAACTAGCAGCAGACTGGAAGGTCAATAACTGTGAGGGAAGGAGTTTTCTCAAGAGATTACAAAATCACATTACAAAAAAAATTGTAATATTCATCAATGGAAATCCACAATTGATTTGCAACTAGTATCACAATAGGCTTTTTAAAAATTATTTTATGAATTTTCACTTCTGCATGCTTTTTATATACGCTTTTTGTCTTACCATACTTTTTAGCAAAAACCTTACTGTTTCTTCCATCTAAATATCATTTGCTGTAAGTTACATCGAATAACTTTTATATCCCTGAAGAGACACACCACATTTCTTTTGTTCCTTATGTTGCTAAAGTTATTCTTCTGCTTCTGCAGAAAGCTGACAAACCATACATTCCTGAAACAATGCTTTACCAATTAGTTCTGTAACCTGACATCCAACCTCATATTCTCGGGGAACACAGAAGGAATTCCTCTCTTACTGTCAACATCAATGTAACAGCACCGTAACATTTTTCTATCCAGAGTTGGTTGAAATAGGTGATAGTTTAAATAGGTGATCGTTTACATCTCTATTTCAAAGAAACTAAAATACATTGATGTTTTCACTTAATTAGTTACATGATGGTATACCTCTCATTGTAGTAAAGTGTTCTGAAGACTTCTAAGTGATTAAAAAACAAAGCCTCTAGCTGTGATTACAACTCACCTATCTGAGTTTTGGAGAAGATCTGTCTCAGCACCTTCAGGAAGCAAAAGCACTAAATCTAGAAGGGAGATCAGGTGATGTCCTGTAAACCAGATGTTGTCGTGTGCCTTCTGAAAAATGATACAAAAAGTTTAGCTGAGTACATAATTTAAACTTTAAATTGAGATAATTAAATCTTAAGTAATTTAACATAGATAATTTAATGGTGAAGGGTCCGGAGGGTAACACATAAAGGAACGAATGAGGTCCCTGGGTTTGGTCCAGAGCAGAGGAGCTGAGGGGAGCCCTTATGGCAGAGGCAGCTCCCCACAGTGAGCAGAGGAGCAGTGCTGAGCCCTGGTGACAGTGACAGAGCCTGAGGGAATGGCACATAGCTGTCAGGAGAGGGCCAGGTTGGGTGTTAACACAGACTTTTCACCAGAGGGTGGCTGGGCATGGAACAGGCTGCCCAGAGCAGAGTCACAGCCCCAAGCTGCTGGAGTTCAAGAAGCTTTTGGACAATGCTCTCAGCAATACGAATTTCTGGGTGGTTCTGTGCTATGCTAGAGGTTGGACTTAATGACCCTAGTGGATCTTCCAGATCAAGATACTCTATGAATCAATGAACAATTTGGGGAAAACAGAAATTAAAAAAAAAAAACAAAAAAAAAGAGTGTGAAGAAATACTTTGTCATCATTATAGTTATTATATGTGACCAAAGTACACAAATTTGTCTTTTCACAATTCTTTCCTCTGCCTCCCAGATTGTTCTTCTCAATTTTTATCAAGGTATTTAAAGGGGATTTTTTTGTATGTATTTCTAAAACACCAATTTCTAGCAATGTTTGCTGAAGGACAACTTCACCTCTTTGGTTCTTTGATGGAAGATGCATATTGTCATTTTGTTTTGAAAGAGGATAAAGGACACAGAACAGGAAGAAGAATAATTCAAGCATAAGATGGAGAGCACTAGGTTTTGAAGTGACAAGACATAATAATCCTGATGCTGTCTGCATCACAGACAGACCACTTCTTATTTTCACAAAAATTCTGCTGAACTAGACCAAACTATGAAGTGAGTAGAGGAAGAAAGGCAAACAATCCAAATAACTTCTTTCACTTGATTAGCAGAAGCTTGTGAAGGACTTGCAGCTATGCAAAGAGCCTCCTCACTGCAAATTGTAGAGCTTTCCTGCACAGTGCTGACTGAGCAAGGTGAGTACACCTCTGAAGTTTTCATGGCCTCTTTAAAAAGGTATTCCACATCAGTACAACAGAGCTGAGAGCTCTGTTAGAGTTATTTTACAAAGATTTTGGTGAAGTCTGTACCTCAGACAGAGGTTGGATAAAGAAATATCTCATACAGGACAAAACTTATCCAAGAGGGAAAAAAGACAAAGCCAGAAATGGATTGGAAGCGAAACAAGAAGGGTCGTCTGTGTTAAGTCAGGTCAAATGAGGAATATAGAAAGACTAACAACAGCTGGGCAGGGAAATAAGTTGGTAACAATTTTCTGTTCTTATCTATTTCTTTATATCTTCTCTGCAGTGAATTATTTGCAACAAATCTAGAATATTCAAGTCCATATAGTGAAATTTGTAGATTATTTGCCTTTTTGACAGGGCACTCTACAGAGAAGAAATGTATTAATAAAGTTCTAAAGCTGCATAGTCAACAAATCCATCAGTAAAAAATTCCAGAATATGTTTTACCTATTCAACTTTAGTGCAAGCCCTTTTTGGAAGAGTTTTCACAGTACTATCTTATTTGATAATACTGATTCAATGCACAGGGCAGGCTACAATCTAATAAAAGTAATTCTCTGTTATATATTATGATATGAATTATGAATAAATGTTATAAGATATAAATGCTAAGATGAAACATGCATGAGTTTACTGCATTATCTCACTTGACAAAAAGGAGACCTTAGAGATCAAATTTGCTTTGAAAAAGGCTCTACGCAGTAAAAAGGAGAAGAGATGAAAAAACAAAAAAGTTAATAATTTACTTTTTATTAAGTTTTCCAATTTCCTTCCATAAATTATTATAAAATATGAGATTTAAATGGCTTTGATCTAGCTCAACTCTTTCTGATGAATTCAGCATTTGTGAAACACAGTGTAATGCTGAATGTCATCATAAAACACAAGATAAAAAATAATAGATCTTTCTGGACTGTAGCATTTGGATTATATTCAGAAAATGAGGAACTGTGAGGATGAAATAAAATACCGCGTAGATCCTCTTTAAGGATCTATGTTTTTCAAGTACAGAAAACATAATAATAACCTATTAAAAAATGCAGTAGGATTGTGTAATTTAAAAGTGCATATGAAGAATCATAGTGTAAAAATACACAGGCACAAAGAAGTCAAATCAATCCTGTAACATTTCCCAATCTTATGCTTCTATTCAACATGCGGTTCTTTTGTTTTTCTGTTTTAAATGCATCACTCAAATCTTAAGTTATACATGTTTTCTCAACTTAATTCAGATACAATTTTGAGAAGAAAAATTGTTTCTAATAGTAATAGACTTACCATTAATGACAAGTGAATCTGATCTTTTATGTTTTTAATAATGTATCCTTCTACACCAGCATGGTTGCTTGTCTTCAGTAAACACCTTCAAACAAAACTAGATGTTATGTCTTCAATACTGCCTCCATCATTAGCTAAAGACTTGGATAACACTATGTCTTATTCACTAAGTGGCAGTTTTAACACTGGGTTACATCTGACAGCTGATTGTATGAGAAACAACTGACATTCATTATTTACTCACCAATTAACACAGTAAAGTTAATGTGGTTTACCAGATAAACAAAAATGATTTCCAACAGTTTGCAAGCAATGAAGTTACAGTGAGGCTTGTATTGTACTATCTACAGTAATTTGAATGCATACCTGAATAACGTATATTTTCCCTCTGCTTCAAATTTATCTATGAACAATTGCAAAATACTCAAACTCTTCTTTCTCTAAAAAGCAATCATATATGTATTAAATGCTAATAATAACAAAAATACATTCTCTGATTTATTCTAATTAAACTCAGTACATAAATCATTCTGTAGGTCACATTACATACCAGATGCTCTATGGGACAAAGGGTCATAACTTTCACCAAATCCTGCAGTTGGACAAAGAAAACAAATTCTAATTACATGCACATTATTACATCACACTGAACAAAACCTGTTCAAGGTATTAACAAACAAGCCAGGCCATGAACAGTTATGTCCAAATAAAAAGGTAGCCAAAGTAGCAAGAGCCATCTAAAGTATATTTTAGTTGTCATTATAACCTCATGCTGCAGCACGTATCAGAGGACAAACAATTCAGTATAGCATGCAATTCAGTACAGCATGACACTACAGGTTTCAGTCTGACAACACAATTGCATGAAAGTTCAGTAGTACGTCCTCCCTCCAACACTGAGAAAACAGCTGGGCATGATTTATCATCAACTACAGAGGCAGTTCTGTACACTGTTTCTTGTTACCTGAGGCACATTAATAAATTCTCTGAATTCCAAATACTGATGGAGAAGGCCATTATCTTCCATTCTCAATAAACAGCTCTCAAACAGATCCTGCAGGTGGGAAGGAAAAATAAACAACTGCCAACTCTTTGCATACATACAAGACATCTATCTATACTCTTAACATTTCATGGATAAAACCACCTTTACTACAGTTCACATATTCGGAGTTTCTAGGAGCTGTATATTTAAGTAGTAATGGTAGTTTAAATGTATATGAATGCATGTAATGTTCAATAAATTTATTTAAATATTTGTAAGACTGAAGAACATCTAACTAAGCCTCAAAATATTTCTGAAACAGTTACCCAAACCATTCATACCTTTCTAAGAAAGAGAAACTAAGGTTTTACAACTGCTAAAATTGAAAAGAATCAGCATTCTTACAATGAACATTTGATCAAAGGAAAAGTAAACTTACAAGTCCTTTAGATAACATAGATTCTTCTGTTCTGTAAAGAAAAAGACATCAAGTTGTAAATTAAGGAGACACTTAATGATGATGTTTCAGATGAAACAGTAGATGTCAAAAGGGAACTGGATCATTAACAATTTTCATTCTGATTTCTAAACGTGATGTCTTCATTATGTCTCTCAAAAATTTTTTTAGAATATATCGACACTATATAATAAATAAAAGCTGCAAACTAGACTCCTCTCTTTAGGGTCAGAACTGCTTAGTTTTTTTCCCTCTTCATATCTGTAGCTCGTATCCCAAATACCAAGATATTAATTAACAAGGAAAATAAATTATTCTATTATTCTATTCTATGAGCATAGATAGCTCTGCAAGCCAAAGAAAAATGAAGCAAATACTAAAAAGAAAAGGCCAAGAGGTTTTGTTTTACTAGGAAATAATAAGGAGTCACAATCAGACTCCCTTCTACAGTAATGCTAGAAACTATTTGGTCAATACTGCTGCTAATGGAAGGAAAATAAACATAGAGAAGCCTGGTTTCCTCTAGAAAGACAGATCTCTAATCAGATTGTGTATCATACCAGAATACATTCAGTTAAGCACTATCTTATAGTCCTTCTTAGAAGTAAACTGATACAGAATTACAAATAAATATACACTAATTTATTCTGCCTTAATTTTGAATTCTTGAATAAATTTTCTAAAAAAAATAGATGAGTGTTTTAGACAGTTTGTTAAAGCTCTTAGAAAAAGAGCATATCATCTTGTCATAGAGCTTGCAATTTTAACTGACAGCTTTAAAGAACTCCTTGGAACTTATCTGGCATAATCAGAATTTGATTCTATACATTATTATAAAAAACCAGAAATAAAACATAGGACAAAAGTTCCCTCTATCATCTAGAGCTCCAAATATCATATAATCCTACCTTTTCAGTAGCACTTCAATATGTGTCATATTGCACTGGAGAAGGTATGATGAACTAAAAAAGAAAATTAGGTTTATATTAAACTGCATAAGCCACATACATTTTCACAACTAATACATTTGAAAGCATTAGTCCTTTTGGAAAAATCTGAAAAAGGATATTTACAAAATTAATAATTCTGAAATACATGCAAAGCACTACATCCAATTCCATTTATAATTCATATGTGGCATCTGTCTACATAATTTTAGTACACATTAATTTTCAGCATAAGACTAATCCTATCAGTTTCTTTAAAATGTCAGCTCATCTACAATCAAACTGTAATAGAGTAATTTGCTGTAATTTGCTGTAAGGACTGTTAAGCTACATGAAGTTGCCACAAAACTAAAACTGGTGAAAAACAGTTTTCATTAATAGCTATTAAAAATAAAATAGCTCTATTTTGCTCAGAACTTTATAAGTACAAACTTAATGTAAGTGAGGAAGAATAGCTCTTACCTAAATACCATTGGAAAGCAATTGATACCAAAATGCTGAACAAACACCAGGTATGACAGACATGCCAAAGAATCTGCAGAATTCTTTTGCTCTATATCCTCAAACTCCTGATTCTCCCAGTATGATCTTCTGCTTTTATGATGTAAAAACACTAGTGGCATTAGCTCTCTCATATCCAGCAAAATGTCCTAAAAAAAAAAGTTAGATTTCATTTCATTGCCTTTAAAAATCTGTATGCTTAATAAATTACAAAGCTTAAGCAGCAGTAAAAAATCCTAAGTAGGGTATGTGAAAATTACTATAAATATTTTGTGAATATTATGATACATACTTCTGGAAAAAATAAATACTGTCACAAAAAGGCTATTAAGATAGCAAAGCCAAGCACTCAAAAGTTAGCAAAAGACTTCGTAAAAGTCACCCTGCAAAAAAATTAGGCTCCATTATCTACAGATGCTATGAATAATAATGGCTTCCTGACCAAGTTATGCCACAAGACTTGTGTTTTTCACAGAGTACTCAGTATTTTGCTCTCTGATCACTAAACACTATGCAGTACAATGTTTACTCACCAAAGGCAAGCCCTGTTTTAAAGTTAGAATTGTTCTGTATGGCCTTTCCAGCAATTCACAGCAAGAAGACACCTGAGAACTTCACAACTATTATATGTGTGTTCTTTACCCCAACACATCTATGTGGATTAAGAGTTAGTTTAATTTCTACTGTATGAATTATAAAGAAGGAGAGGTTAATCCACCCTTCCAGTGCTGTCCAAACCAAATATCCAAGACCTGACATTCTGGAGAATTAGGATTACATCAGACATCAGATACTTAAAAGCATTGTTACTGACCTTAACTGCAGTACTCATTACCCAATTCCACAAACAGCAGAAGTGGATTTCTTGAGAAAATGAAGAAAAAGTGATTCATAATTAGCATAATAAATGGTTTCAGACTGTGTTCAACAGGAAAGGCAGGGATAAAAGTCCGTTTTTTAGAGCAGCCTTAACTATCTTAACCTTTATATCATCTTCTGGTAATCTCTGCCACCATCACTGCACATCTTAAAAGTTCTGCAATAAGAGAAGCAAAGCTCTCACAGGCAGGCTTCTCTTTCATTGCACAGCTCTAATTAATCCATGCAGCAGTTCCATCCTACACTGACTGAGATATGCTGTGGGGAAAAAAAAAGCAAAGTGAACACGATAGAAAAACTAATTATGGTTGAAAACAACCAAAAGTTTTGCTAACTTCATAGTGTGCTTGACTTTACAATCTTTAATATTGGGAGCTATATCCAGCTATGGCAGCAACAGCAGTCAAGCAATAATTTTTATTCCTTAACTGCCAGCTGGCACTGCACTTTAGGCAAGTAAGAGATTTCTGAGTGCAAAATTTGGATTAATACTTAGATTTTACCTTCACTAAGCAGCAAAGACAATACGTCAGGTATTTTTAAAAAATCATACTTAACCAGGGAAAAAGGAGGAGTTAAAACAAAGTAGCAGCTGCTGATTCAGAGAACAGTCCAAACTGGCTTATCAAGGAGCAAAACTGCATCTGCAAGGTTTATCATTTCCAAGGATGGAACCTTAGCCTATTGTAGACCTTTACATACCCACATTACCTTATGGGGCCTGGTCAGCCATCACACTAAGCAGTAACAGAAATGAACTGACCTTCCTATTGGCAGTTCTGAACCACACGACTGCTTTGGCAAACACTTCAATTCACAGTGACTGCACTTACTATAATTTCAGCTGCAAGATGCCGAAATGGATGTTCTTCAATGCCTTCCAGTTGATCGAGCTGAGCTGTCAATAATGGGTATTTCAGGCTTTTCATACAGCTGAAAAAAAACAAGCGAAACTTATAAAATCTTACAGAGACTACAGCAACGTCATCAATGGCCAACAAGAAGGTCTATATTCTTTTGGCTGCTGCTGTTCCTGATATTCCAAAAATGGAAGAAAAAATGTCTCCCATCAGAGCATTTCTTAGAATTCACCTCCAGAATAGGATTATCCTCACTTTTGCATGTTTGAGTTGAAGCAGCAGGACTACCAAATCAGCTCCATATCGCAGAGACTTATATTTCTTAATTTCCTTGTACTAAAAAATTTTATTATTCTTCTTTCACTTCATAAAAAAGCAAAGGATTTTTTTTTTCTTTTTGAAACATAGCATTAGTTTATATGTTGGCAACACTGTAAAACCTTTAATAAGATTATTTATTTACTGCTCGTGTAATAAGCGTCCACTGTTCATTTTGTTTCTTTACAGGAATATATTAAGCTAATATTAAATGCTTACAACTTCAGTAATTCTTCTTTCAGCTCCGTGTCATTGAATTCTGACGAATTTTCCATGTTTTTAACAACTTCATTCACAAAAGGTTTAGCAAAGTCCACCACTGCATTACAACATTGACACAGACCAAGTTTATCTTCTTGTATTTGTTGCTTTGTATAAGGTACAGGCAAGGGAGTAAGCTGATTCATAATGATGGCCAAAGATAAGCCCACTGAGTAGGCCTTCTTGTTCTGAAGCTTCAAAAGCACTGAAACAAAGAGAACATTTTGAGACATTAAGTTAATATTTGCTGGAGGAATGTGTGAAGAACTGCAATGTGACTGTATAAGAAAGCCTTTACTTTCAGAGGAGCAGAAGTACTAATATCTCCGTTCAGATGGACAGGTCCAGCAAGACTTATCAGCTTATCATCATCATCAGTTAATCTATTTCACAGTAGTTAATATGACCATAGAGTTGAGAATGATGTATTAAAGCAGTCTTGCATTTCCACACATTCCTCTTTGTTGCAAAATCATGAAGACTGAAAAATCTGTCTTTCTAGAACTAGTCTAAACAAAATAATATCTGTTTATCTGGTCTGGAAAACATCTTTAGTATGGCTTTCCTGCTTTACTTGCTTGACAAAACTTTCTGCTGGGATCTGACTCTTCATTAAGCAGCTCAGAGTTGTTCTATACTCTGTGGCAAAAACAACACAGGGTCTCCCAGCCTGAGGAAGCAGCACAAGTCACTTTCCATTTAAACTGATCTCAGTGCACACTAGCAGCAGATTGGTTATGCAATAAAACACACATTTCTTATTATCAAACTGCTTCTTTTGTTAAATTCTAACTTAATGCAGTAACAGAGCTCAGAGACTGCTAGAGCTGGACTTAAATTTGATAAGAAGTGTGATTCATTTCCACGTACCAAGAGAGAAACTACTACTTGTTACCTACTTAACTAATATCTCAATCTGTATTTTTAATTTTTGCATATAAAACAGAAGAACGGAGTTTTTCAATTCATATTTTTCAACCTGTTTCAATTACAAGTAGAAGTTTTATAATTTTAAAGTTTTAAGTATTAAATAATGAATTCTCCAAATCTATGAGTCCATGTAATTCTATTTCTGTAACAAGGATATGAGCATTTTACAACTGCAAAAAATAACCAAATTTCATGAATGAAGAAAAATGTTGCTTTTTCAACTGCGGTTATCAATCTTATTTAAAATTTTCTTAAATTACTCCACCAAAGGCTAAACTAATCTGATAAATAAATAAATAATAATTAATAAAAATAAATAAATAAATTTCGTTGACAGAAATCATATGAGAAAGTCAATGTTACCTGTCTGCAAAGGTTGAAGCAGTAGCATGATAGTCTGGCACACCTGCTCTCCTGATGTCTGTTCAATCTGCTCAAGTAAACCCAAAAAAAGTTCCTTCGGATTACACAGCTACAAGAGATGAACAAATGCATGCTTTACTCACCACAGATATAAAATATAAACCAAACAAACAGGAGAAAAAAAAAACATCACAAACAAACCACAGTACAGAAACTCCTGAACATTAAGAAAACAGATTAGAACATCCAAAATTATCTTAAAAGAATCAAACATGAAACAATAAATACATCCCTATAGTAAATGTACTATTCTGAGTGTATATGCATATACACGTACATATAAGCTGAAAACACAGAAATCAAGTTTAGTGCCATTTGATTTGCTATGTTGTATAAGCACCTCATAGTACCTGAGCAAGAAGTTATTCCTTAGTAGTAGAGAGAAAAGAAAAACTTCAGTGTGAATTTGGCTTAGTTTGCAAATTGTTTTCCAAGTAGATAACTGAAAAGAAACCGAAAGGGAATTTCCTACAGATTAAATCTTATTTCCTATGACTCCACCAGAATCATCAGCTACCCACTGTCACAGCCCAAATCCTGCCAGAATCCACTAAGTATCTGGAGCACACTCTCAGACATAGGGCTTGAATTTTGGGTGGCTCTGTGTGTAGGCAGGAGTTGGACTCAATAAAACTTGTGGGTGCCTTCCAATCATTTATGACCTGCCACAGACAAGAGGTAGCCTTGCTTGGCTACACTAACTGCAAAAACTGGTTGCGAAGAACTTTGTAGTGGATGATGTCTAACTCAGTTTTGTCTAGAATTGTCTAAATGTATTAAAAAGTTCACTACCTCTGAGAATGCTATCGCTGTGTCTACTTCAGATAAAATTGGACCATGAGTTTAACAGTGATGTGGAATGGACAGAGGAACTCAGAAGCGTTCATGTCCTATTTTCTCTTGAAGTCAGAAGGAATTTCTGCCCCTTCCTTAAAAGTATCTTATTACAACCATGTATTTCAAAACCATACCTGCACCAACTGATCTAGTATCTTCAGGCAGTGTTCTCGCTTCTCATCTTCCTTTTTATATGCTAAAATACATCTAACAAGAGGAGAGATGAGATTCCAACCCATATTCTTGATGATAACCTACAAATCAGATTTTCAGAGAATCAACCAAAACTGGACATTTTCTAAACCCAGAAGGATCATATTTATGGAACTCAAACTCACCTTATTTTTCACATTTTGAATCACTTCTAATAACTGAGCAGCATATCCATCTTCTAAACATTTCTGACCTGCTACCTGAAACAGATCATAATCTTCTCCTCTAAAATCAGCTTCTTCCAGAATTTGCTATAAAGAAAATAAGCATGTTTAACTTCTTCTTTTAAAAAAGGTAAATACAAAAATAGGTAAACATAAGCTTCCTTTTCAAAAGATGTAGTGTCACTGTAACTTTTCTTTTAATATATAAAGAATAAGAGGTTACCAAGAGCTACCACAGAAGATAAAGCAGTATTTCAGTAGCTATTTCTAAGTCTAAACTAATTTGCTATCTAGAAAATGCCCGTGATATGGAGTACTGTACCCACTTTGAGTACTGCATCTAGTTCTGAGTACTGGATCCACATCTGGGCTTCCTGGTGCAAAAAAGACAGTGAGTCCAGTGGAGGGACACAAAGATGATAAAAAGGCCTGGAGCATCTCCCATGAGGAAGAACTGAGCAAACTGAGTCTGTTCAGCCTTTAGAAAAGAAGACTCAGAGGTGATCTTATTAATGTCTATAAATATCTTAAGTGTGGGAGTCAAAGGGACATGGCCAACCTCTTTTCAGCAGTCTGCGGGGACAGGAGAAGGGGAAACAGACATAAACTGGAGCACAGGAACTCTGCTGGAGACATTCAAGACTACTCCTGGACGCCTACCTGTGCAGCCTACTGTATGACCTCTGGAGGTCCATTCCAACCCCTACAGTTCTGTGATTCTGTGAGAGAAACGAGAACACTTCTTTCTCCAAGAGGGAGAACCTGGGATAAGTGCCATGGAGAAGTCAATGAAACATGGAGTCTGAACCCAGATAACAGTAAGGAGATCTGCTAACAAGCGTCTCGTGTTTTGAAGCCATAAAGTGAACCTTACACTGCTTGCATCTGTGACTTTTATGAGAAGTACTTACACATCTTTCTATTATGGCTTGAAGTTCATCGACTGCCATTATAGTTTGAGTTTGTTCTTCAGGCATTGAAAACTGTAATGAATTAAAAGGTACAGTATTAAAACCCATGAAATAAACACAGAAATTTTTTAAAAAACATGTTAATAAAAAGACGTCAAATAGAGAAATGAGAACAATCTTTTAGCTACTGCATGGCCACGTTCATTGACAACTGCAGCCAACACGGAGCACATCCAGGCTCACTGCACACCAACCACAAATCCTCATTCTGCTTCCTGGGGGTACCCTCACTGGGTGAGGACTCTGCCTGCTGCCTGGGAGAGGCACAGGGCGTGCAGGTGCCTACTGCCTTGCACCAACAGTGTTTTAGTCCAGTCAAGACTACATATGCAACATCATTTACTTCCTTGCAATGTCTAGGTTGGCTGATCAAGCAGACTTTTATCTCTAGGTCCTTCATCTCTAAAAACTTCAAGTTCGGGGTTTTCTGTTTGTTTGTTTTTAGTTTTGAGTAATTTCTTCTGCCCAAGTCTGGTTATACAACCGCTGTGCCTATCCACCACCTCTGCCCTTGGATAATTAGCAAACCGTTCATCAAAGCACCCAGACTTTGCACTCTTGCAGATACCTCAACATGCCATCCTCTATCTTTCCTTTTGAACTTGACCTCAACCTATCACAGCACTTGGACCCACCTACGTGGATATCTACAAAACCCAGTCAACTCACAACAGCACAAAAACACACACGTGCGAATTTCAATGCTCCAAGAATACAACAACTATTCTCAGCCGCCTATTCTAACATTCGTACCTCCCTGCAATCCGGCAGCGTTCCCAGCCCGATCTTTCAATCTGACAGTGACCACGTTCCCCATTAGCGCACACCGCTCCGAGCCGCCCGTTTGCGAGGACGTTTCGAGCCCCCAGACCAACCCAAACGCCGCCGCTCCTCCCTCCCCGCCGTGACACACGTGACGGCACGCAGGGCGCAGCAGGACCCGCCGCTCAGCTCCTGCACGCTCCCAGGCCTCAGGACTTACCCCGCTTTCTAATTACATCTTTCCAGTGGTTCCAGCGGCAAACGCACAGCATCGAAATAATTAGGAGCTTTCTGCCGCTAACACTCAGCGCTCTCTCTCCTCTATTAAATACTCATTAAATTCCCCAGCAGCTTCGCCGGGCGAGGTGCAACACACGCCCGCACGAGGGGCTGCTAACGCCAGCCTTTAACCCAGGACTGAATTAAAAACGAACCAACCCCGCCAGAAGCGCTCACCGCAGCCGCGCCGCTGGGGCCGCGCCGCTCTCCCGCCCCTCCTCGCTCCCGGCCCGGGCCGACACGGCTCCGCCCCCGGTGAGAGGTCAGGGGGAGGGAGCCGGCAGCACCGTGATGGCGGACGGGAAGCCGCCGGGCGGCGCGAAGGGGAGGCCCGGCCGGCGGCGCGCCGGTGAGTTCCGCGCCGCGCTCCGCCCGCCCCGCGTAGCGCCCGCAGGCCGGCACAGCGGGCTCACGGCAAGCGGTCGGACGAGGCGGGCCCGAGCCCTGGCGGGCTCTGCGGCGCCGCGTCGGGCTGTCAGTGTCCGGTGTCTGCGTCTCCGTGTCCGGGTCGGGCAGGCCGTGCTTACCCCAGGAGCGGTACTAAAAGCTGTGCCTGACGCTGCTGAGTGGTTATTGCTTGCTGAAGACACGGCCACCAAAAGCGAGGTTCCGTGCATTCCACTGTGCTTGCAGAAGTCTTCAAATTTTTAAAAGTTCCAATGTTTTCCATTGCTAAAGGAAGAAAACTCACTTATGCTTTCATGTTTTTGATTTCTAGGAAATAAACGGTCAGCTGCTCCAAAAAATGAAGATGCTGCTCAGAGGTACCATTTCTAGCAAACAACATATGGTGGTCACTTTGCTCTGCTTTACTCCGAGACTGTAATCTTTTCCTCCCCTGTTTTTGGCTTTCTTAGAGATAACTGACTTCCAGAGACCACCAGCATCCACCTCCTGCAGGTTTTTGGCGTGATGCTGCGCGTCTTTTAAGCGAACATCAGCTTAGCACTGCTTATAATAGGCATAGCCATCGTGTTTGGCCAGAGCTGCACATTACGTCTTAACAGGGCTGAAAGCTGCATCCCCTTTACCAGCACAGAATGCCGTAGTACAGGTGCCTCTGCCACCTGCTCCCCACTGAGACATGAGGCAGCCGCCCATCGGGGAAAGCTGCCCAAAGGAATTCAGACTCGCAGTGGTGACACAGGTGGCAGAACTTCTTTCCTGGGGGAGGCAGAGCTACAAGGGATGTCTCCATTCTGTCACCCGGCTGCTGCAGTTTAATCAGCCTGTCTTAAGAATGAGGATAACATTTAGCAAAGGCTAAAATCTATGTATATTAAGAGAATATGTTAAAATATGTCCCACTGCAGATACATGGAAGATACAGGAAAATACATGACCAACGGGTGCATGCAAAACTGAAATAATTCTGTTGTGGTTTTGCAATAAAAGTCAATACTTTTCCTGACTGGGGAGAAAATAAAGCAAAGCAAAGTTAGAATTTTTTTTTTTTTTTTTTTCAGTGGTTATTACAAAACTTATAGTCCACTTGTTGCTTTGTTTGGCCAACTTGATGAGATGCAGAAAATGCAAGCTACTGTATTTCAGAAAAGAAGATAAATATTCACTTAGGGAATCGCTTATGGGAGCTGCTGTTTCACTCAACATTTCTTATGTTACAGGAAAGCAGCCCTGGAAGCTTCTACTAGAAAAAAAATTGAATTTGAGAAAAAAGCACTGCATATTGTTGAGCAACTCCTGGAAGAGAACATTACTGAAGAGTTCCTTCTGAATTCTGTAGGTGTTGTAAGTTTTGGTATTATTTTGTATCTTAATGTCCAACTGTTTTTTTTTAAATTCTTAGAACAATTTGCTGTAGTTCAGAGTGGCCAAGTTCATTCTCTCTTGTCAGCTCCGTTGATGGTTGCCTTATTTTCAAGGGTTCTGCAGTGAAAATATGCTCCAGTTTTGTAGGATGAGATATAATTGTGAATCTCTCTCTATTAGCATACTTTGTTTATGCCTCTGGGAAGTACAAGAAGTTATGTCCGTGTCATGCCCTCTGTGAATTTAGACAATGGTACTCTTTACCCCACGGTTCATCTGGCAGCAGTTTTACTGGGAAGATACAAGGATTATTCCTGCTAAGGTTGTAAGTATGATGGCAAATAGGAGTATGTAACATGTAAAGAGAGGAAAATTGAGAGAATAGGTACGCTAGAGGTATGTGATGAGGTGCTTGTATATGCAAAAATAACTGTGTGTATTTTTTTAAAAAACTTTTTACCATTTTTTACTGGGTAGGTTCTCAGTGCTGTTTATTAACCTGCTGCTATAAAATGTAAAATACGTATTTGCTTATTTTCATTTGAGTATGACAGATCTTCCAGTATCTGTTTTTGAACTATTTTCTTATCATTGCAGGGAAAATGTATTACTCCATCTCACTATAAAGACATTGTTGATGAACGGTCTATCATCAAGCTATGTGGTTACCCTGTATGTCAAAATAAGCTGGAAAATGTAAGATGCTTTTTCAATGAGTAGTGTTATCATAAGAATCTATTAGCATTTTTTATTCTCTTGCTTATTCTTTTCATTTTAAACTTAGAATATTAATCATAGATTGAGTCAGGTATCACTTCAGTACAATGCTTCTGAAGTAAAAAGTTGAATCTGATTGGTTGACAACCATTGCTGTATAAGAGAATCAGTTACAATCTATTTTGATAGTAATAAAGATGAATAAGGTATGGTTTCATAGCCATCCTTCATGCATGCAAAAACACTCTAATCTGGTTCTTCTGTACCTCTGTAAGATGGGCTGAAATGAAAAAAGGTAAAATGCATGGGTATTACTTTGTGACTGCAAATACATCCTCTCCAAAATATGTTACTTGTGTCAAAATCAGTCACACTTAAATACAATATATCAGAGCTTAAGTGGAACTATGAGTTCAGTTAGATAATCTATGATGTAATATGTAATACCAGTTGTGATACAGCAAGTTATCTGGGGAAAAAAAATCATGAAAGAAAAAATATGTACGGTTTTGGACTTCACGTGTCCCATCAAAACTTGGAAACTATTGCATCTGATATAAGCTCCCCTCTGGATTTCTCTGAATAGTGGTGGAATCATGCATGAATCAGGTTTCTCCTAAGGCAGCTCAATTGATTCACTCCCAGCATGGGCTTTCTTGTAGACCTGAAGCTGTCTTCTAAGATGTAAATAATGAGAAATTGCAGTTCTTATGTCTAAGGAGATAAAATACCAAGAGAGTTGAGAGAAAAGTTTGTTGTAGTATGTAATTCAATTAACTGAGTGCATTACATGTACTGAAAACGTGAATTAGGAGGAAAGTTTTATGTAACAATGTGACAATCTTGCTGATGAAAGCATATCATTTTAGGTGCCAAAACAGAAGTACAGGATTTCAACAAAAACTAACAGAGTTTATGATATCACTGAAAGAAAGGTATGGTAACAAGTTGTTTTTTAAATGTATTTAATATTGTCTCCACATCCAAATGCATTTTGTAACAGCATTCATATAGTGGATTGAATCAGAACCAATGCATTTGGATCTCATGAAAATCATTTTCATAAATTATTGGATTATGAAGTTCCTAAGTAGTGTATTTCCATCTCCAAGCTACCAAGCTTGAGTCTGAGAAGTGCTGAGACATTCTGTCTTATCTGACACAACTGTGCAAGATAACTTTTTTTTTTTTTTTTTAGGATACTGCAAAATTTTAGGAGTCATATCGAAAGTTACAAAAAAGTTCTATTGCAGACCAGAATTTACATTGTTAAACACCTGAATATTATTGCACATCTTTTAAACTGTATAGATATTTTACAGGGTTCAGGACTGCTCGAGTGTTTTGGTGTTTGTTTTTTTTTTTAAGTTATTATTACTACTAATGATATCTTCAATCATATTTTCCATACTGTATTTCCAGTGCTTTTGCAGCAACTTTTGCTATAAAGCATCTAAATATTTTGAAGCTCAGATTTCCAAGAGTCCAGTATGGATGCGAGAAGAAGAAATGTAAGTGTGACCTTATATATTTGTAGATTATTTCAAGGATATTGTTTTCTCTGTCTAAGCTGCAATGCTAATTAATTAGTTGCAATACATCCAAATAGTTAGACTGAAGCAGAGACAAGTGACATTAGCATGTTAGCTTAGCATGGTGTTCACATTAAGTGTTGCTGCCATATGCGTTACTGTAATTGACACGGCCCAGTTCTAGTAACGACTACTCAGACTTGACTGTGTTAGTTTAGAGGGCAGACTAGTCATAAATAATAATAAACTCCTATTAATTTTAAAATGTATCTATTGTGACTGGATTTTTACAAGCCATGTAAGATAAAGGAATAATTCATTTTATTCTGTTACAGGAGATTTTCTCATTTTAACAGAGCACTTGCATTGGGCTTAAGGTCAGACTGAAAGTCTGTAATATGAAGAAGTTCCTTATCCTGCATAAAACTGTCATTTCAGATGGCCTATTTTCTGTTATTACTGCAACACACGTTTTGGAAGTGTTACACAGTCTGTGCTTTAATATATTAAAAGTTAAGGTGTGCAAACAATGAATCAAGCCACTGGGTGTCACTGCTCAACAGTAAATACTTGCCCAGAGAAGGGTCAGCTCATTTATTCAGTTTTCATCGTCTAAGCAAGTACCCTTGCTTTCAGCAGAATAAATAATCTGAAATTATATGTGAGCTCAGTTTCACAGTGGGAGGAGCTGTATGAAATACAGGTTGGTGAGAGAAGAGGCTGAGAACAGCCTGATCTGAAGAATTAGGTAAAACTGTAAAATAGTTAAGTAAGCTTACCAGTGTTTTCGTGGTATTGTTTTGCTCTCTCTAGAGGAACTATTTTTAATATCTCTTTGTTAACATAAAGAGCAGAGTTCTGATATGTTTGACATAATTAACTATTTATGCTGGGGTGGGTATATTTTCCAAAACAAACCAACAAACAAACAAAAAACAAGCAGTGCATGGCTAGTAATATCTGTTTGCATAAGAAGACAAAAACCTCTACTTAAAACTTTGAAAAGTAATTATTTGGTGTTAGTAGTTTGAATCACTATCATGTCACCTTTACTTTCCAGACTCAGTTCATTTATATGAAAAGTGCAGCTGTCATCCTTTTAAATCTGTTGTGTTGATTTTTTTTTTTTATATATACTGTCCAAGTTTAAGGTATTATTTCATTGACTTATATTCAGGGCATGCTTAGAAGGTTCTCTGTCATTCATAAGGCAGGTATGGATTTCAATATTCAGTGCTGAATAAAGTAATTAGCATTGTGATGCTACCTTTTAACTGAAATGAAGCAGAACAGCAGCTAGAAGTTTTTGGAAGAAATCCTTCAGAATCCATTCAGTAACAGTCCTTAGGAGTCCAAAGGTTTCTGGAAACACATTATCTTAGATCACTATATCTTAATAGCCTATTTTTTTTAAAACAATTTCAAATGAAGATATCGTGTCTATTCCTATTTCCTGTATCAATTTGGAGCATTTTTCCTGCAAACTACTCAGGATTGTTTTTCCTGTAGAGGCCTTGTGACTAATGAGGATCTGATCATGTTTAGCTTGATGAAGAGGAAAGCAAGGGATGATCTGAAAACAGTCTACAACCTTTTGAAAAAAATTACATAGACTACAGACCTAAACTTGGTCTTGGTTATTATCAGAAATCTTAAGAAGGAGTGTTGGCCATAAGTTATGATATCAGTTGTTTACATTGACACTGGGGAAAAAGGTATGCTCTAGGAGAGTGGTGGAACAAATCAGTGTACACAGAAAGGTTCTGAAATCTCAATCCTCAAGATTTTCAAGATTTAAATTTACATAAGATAAGACTGACCTTATCTGCTGCTAGTGACAATCTCACTGTCTCAGGAGGTCAGATTAGACCTCCAGAGGTCCTTTCTTACTAACCTTTAAATGATTTGATTAGTTGTTGTTAAATGTATCATGCTACAGGCCCACACAAATTTTGCTCAGTGAATGTGTATGTATGATCCTGCTCCAGCTAATCCTGCTTTCAACAAAGGATGTTGGACTAAGATCATTAGAGATTCTTTCCATCCTCAACTATGTATTTTCTGTGTTTGTGTATTTCAAGAGCACTGATTTAGCAGAAAAAGTCTTCATTCCTTGTATTCTTTTTGCAGACCATCAGACATAGAGCTGCTGAAGAAGGGGCAGAGGTACATTGAACAGTAATTTGTTATATGCATTTATAGTCAGAAACATTAACATTATATTAGGTAAAAGGCAAATCTTTGAAGAGACCTTATTAGAGAAAGGATTGTTTGTCTTATTTCTTTTCCTTTGTGATTCAAAACTAGCATGTTTGACCTGTATGATTTAGTGTACAGCTGCTCTTGGCCTATGTGTCATAATTGAACCTGCTGAAATCTGAAACAAATAACAGTTTGTACTTTAAATATTTTATACCATCTATTCTTCATAAAAAAAGTGGTACCAATTATAGGTGATGAAAACTTCTGCACTTCCTATTCTAAAACATCAGTATCAGCTCAATTGAAGTCACGTTACTCTGTCATCTCTCTGTACCTTGTGGTGTATTGTGACTTTGTTTTCTTTTGGAACATCCAGCCATTAAATGGCAAACATATGCCAAAAACAAGCTCTACTGGCCTACTGATTTTCAGGTACTACATTCATATGCATACTGAAATACTGATCTTCATTTTACAAAAGGAAGTACTTTAAAATTCTTCATACTAAATTGGAACTTAAGTCTGTTGTCTTTAACAACAACCTGTTTGCTGTTCTAACTGCCAATAAGCATTTGGGAACCAATTTCTCCAAATAGCATTTAAACTTGCTATCTTAATTGCAAAAGATTAGAACTCAAGTTTAAATAAAATTTCTAGGCCAAAAGTTACACATCTACTATAGACAAACAGGGTTCCATTTTTTCTTACTTATGTAATAATTTTCCAATCTCACGTAACATCCATTTCTTATTTTGTTGATGACTTGTGTTTTCTGTTACAGTGGTCAATCTGGAGAAGAGGTGAAACTATGTGATGAAGTAATTAAAGCTTCTGACATTGAAAATCCTAGGGTATCTTCAAATCCATGTGAACCTGCTTCTTATGGCACAGCCAGTGACAGCAGTAGTGATACCGAACAGGAATTTGTTTCTTCCGTTCTACCAGGAAGTCAGTCAAGTTCAGCCAGTCTTGCACAGCAACTGCACAGAAACAGCATCCTCAAGAAGCAGCACATTCAGAAAGCTTATTCCAGCTCTAAATCTGAAGGCTCAAGTGTGGTAGAAGTCACTGAACGACTCTCTAATTGTAAATTAAATGCTCAGGAAGAAATGCATGCTTGCGCTGTTCAAGAGAAAATAACTGCAATACCCTCAAAAAATACTACTCCAGGAAAATCAAGTGTTTCTGAAAACTGTGAAAATACCTGTAGCAATTCACAGATAGTCTTTCTAGGTGTGAGCAAAAAAGGAGCAGAATACCTTAAAACACTAGCTAACTCAAAACAACATGAAAAAATTGAACTGAGGGATTCAGTTCCTTCCTCAGCTGCCAAAAGCAGTTTATTAGAACTGCTTAAGCAAACACTTACAGAATGGAGAACTGAGGAAACCTTAAAATTTTTGTATGGTCCAAACTACACTTTATGGTCATCAGAATGCCCATTATCTGCCAACCAAGAAAATGAAGAACTCGATGAGGATGACTTAGATACACCTGAAGATCTTAATGCTGCTGTAGGGAAGTTTGAAAACAGTCTGAACTATTCCTTACCTTTTATGGGCTCAGGTGAAACAGTTAAGCCTGTGCCTAGTTATGAGAAGTTAAAAGAAGAAACAGAATTCCTACAACTCCGAGTAAGAGAGTTCTACAAAGGAAAGTACATCTTGGCTGAAGAGGAGTTAGCACATACACAAACAGATGAACATTCAAGTACAGACAAAGTAAGTGCCTAATGGAACAGTGCCTGGGCTGTTTAAATCCTGCTTCTAAGCAGACATTACAAGCTCTTTGTTGCTGCCTTTGTAAGTGGATATGGCCACGGTAACATCAAGCTATTAATGTAAAATACTAATAGGAAGGCTGGATAAATTCAAAACAATCCCTTAAGATTGAAGAAAACTATTTTAAGTTGATGAGAATGAATTTGACTGTTTGGGAAGCATTCAGTTCTGGTAGGTTCCTTGCAGTTTGTGAAGCATGAAAGATGACTTGGTTTCTTGAGCACAATCCGAACACAGACTGAAACAAGAGGGAAGTACTGGCAATGGGAATAGGAAAGAAGATCTATACAAACCCTACATAGTTTTTGTAGTAAATGAGAATAGGTAGAACTATTGCTACTATAATCTTAGTAGAAAGATGAAGTACAACTACTGTCACCACTTCCCAGGCCCATCCTTTTCATCATCTCTACAACTCTGCAACTGTAGCATTGCAAAATTGCAATGAGATGAAGCTGTTAAAGAACCTTGTGTGAGAATAGCTTACTGGCACAAAAAACTGGTGATTTCTGTGAGCTGGAGAGATAGGACTTCTATAACAAAGGCTTTCTGTAAAATTGCTGCCTTGCAGGGTAAATAAGGTTTATTTAGTAGAAACAAACCCATTAGACAGAGTAGGTGTTGGGTGAAAGAGGAACTGGATTTTTTTTTCCTTCCACCTTTTAATCATTATATAAAATCTATATTAACTTCTTTTCCTTTAATTCAGAGTACTTGAGATTGGATTTATTTCTTTTGAGTAAGACTAGATCTCTGGCATTACTTATAGTTAAAATTCTCTGAACTGGTGTCTGCTGATTTATTTGGATATATGCTGCAATGTAGACAATTTGGGGGGAAAAGAGTCTGGAGAATTTGCAGAACTGAAGAAATATAGAGCGGTCTGAATTTTTATCAGGGTAGGCAAACCATCTGACAGCAACCAGGTCTTCTTGTACTATTTTACTATAATGACATTAACTATCCTAGGTAGGCTGTACAGTTTGTACAAGCATGTGAAATTTCTTTTTCTTTTAAAGGTCAAGTGTATTATGAGCATAAGAGGGTGTAACTTTCATAATACTGCTCCTTTTAAAATAAAGCTGTTACATTGCTTTTTGTAAAAAACAAAAAAGTTTAGACATTTAGTTTTTGTATAAATTTACCATTAGTTGAATTAAAGTATCTAGCATACGGCTTTGCAAGGAAAGGGGAAAAAACAGGTTAGGTGTAAACTCTATGTTGGGTGAAATTGACCAGAGTTCTGTCCACTAAGACATTACTGGCTGCTTTTTTCTGTTCAGAGATGAAAGCTTTCCTATGTTTAAACATCAGTTGAAAAGCTGTGACTATTCTGATGCATTGACTGCAATTTAATATTAGATTGTAATTAAAGGTTTTAATATTGTAATACAGAATGATCAACAGCAAGACCTCATGTTCCCACTTGTTGATTCAAATGCACAAATGCAGATTAGGAAGCGAATTGTCCTCGAAAAACTGAGAAAAGCGTAAGTATTCCTTACTTTAGTAACCATCAAGCTCACATTGGTGATCTTTCATCATCATTTTAAGTAATAAACACACTGTGCAAGGACATTCTTCACCTTTTTCTGGGTGGCATTGTTCATAACCAGTATTGCCCTAAGGAAATTATTTTTGATACCATCATGCTATGATGGAGCAGCAGATATCAGTTTGCACAACCTGCTGAGATAAGTGTCAGAATCTTGCTACTAAGATAGTCTCTAAGATAAACTTGTCCGTTCTTACAGGCACCAGAGCTTGTAGATGACAAGTTGTAGCATTCAAGGCTGGCAGGACAGCATGTTCCTGCTCATCAGTAGTTGTTAGAAATCAGCTGTGCCACTACACTGAAAATATCTGTTTTCTTGATCTAAATGTTGCTATAACATATGGAGCTTAAAATGAAAATATGCTTCCAAAAAAAATCTGCAGAAAGCACTTCATTTATCATCCTCGTTTCCCTCAGATTCCTGGAAACATCTGAAGCATCTAAATTAAGTTCTTTAGAAGCAGGTTCTGAGGGATGTAAAATAGGAACTGAAAATCAGCAATAAATACATATATGTTAATATTAACAACACATAGCTGTGTGCACTTCATGTATATACTACTTGTAATTTCAACTGTAGTTTTACTTGATTTTTTGATTCAGATGAAATTGGTGGGAATACACAGTTCTAGTAAAAGGTACAGTGATATAAAGTAGAAATATTGACTATTCCAACAGTATCAGCACAGTACCTATATATGTATAAGTGTAAATAATTGGATATTCAAATGCAAGAAGTTGTTAACCATTAAACGAGCAAATAGAGGCAGAAGTTTTAGCTTAAATCTACATCTAATATGTGAAAAGCAATAGATGTTATTGCCAGCATTTGGGGATACCAAGAACTTGTTAAACAGTACATGCAGTTTGCAGTGTTCTCTATCAGTTTTATACATTCAAGCAGGAAAGTAATCTGTTATTGAAATTTTCTGATTGCTCTGCTAACATCTTTGTTCCAATAATCAGACTTCCAATGGAGTATTATTTGTTGCAACCTTTTTTATCATATGTAAGTCTAAGATTAGCAGATATATTCTTCATGTGAATGACAGTTAGGCATGTAATTTTCCTTCTGCATTGTTATTTTTTAACCAATATAAACTTTTAAAGCATTATGAAGCCTGAAATTCCAGTACTTATAATGAAAACATTTGTTTTTATTGTAAGAATGTTATGTCAGAACTGACACGGAATTTAATACAAAGTTTGTGTAATACTATATCTAATTTCTACTTCACATTTACACTAAATTAGAGCTCCTTAGTTTTTATGAGCAAAATGTTGTAAAAGTGAGGATATTGCCCAAAAAGCACTGAGAGGAATCTGAAATGTAAGCTATATGCCAAATCTATTGCACAAAAACTTTTTTCCCTTTTCATTACCTTTAATGAGCTCTGATGGAAGCCTTATTTGAGGAGAAATTAAGAGACAAAAACATTAACCAGTGTTTCTTGCCTTCTAGATTACCTGCAGTTTTAGGCCCTCTTCAGATTATGCTAGGGGATGTTTACACAGAGCTAAAAAATCTTGTCAAAACTTTCCGGTAAGTATTAGTCTTTATTTAGCAATTCTTGATTGATTAAACATCCCATGATTTGTATTTGTGATTTGGGCACAGAGAGGCTGTGTGTTCATGTAGGAAATGTCACATTCCCTGCGGACTAACAAGTCAACCCCTTCCTTGCTCCTGACAGTGGCTAGGTCACCAGGAATAGGTTTTTAAAAACTAGGCCAGTGGTCTCTGGAGGATGATGGTGAGTCTTTTAAAGGTTCTGCTACCTCATCACCTCCTATTAAGCGTGAGTTTCTGACATCTGTCACTTTCTTCTGCTCTGGCTCCCTGTAGCTGGGCTAACAGGATTTAATATAATTAATAATTATTACCACTAACATTCAAAATGGAAAGAAGGTCCAGCTTGACCTTTCTTCTAATTTCAAGGGGAAGTAGGTCTAGGGTATGTTCCTTCACCACAGATAGGAACAGAAGCACTGAAGAGGATACTTAAAAACACTGGGACTAAAGGAAGAGGGATATTAGAATGGTAATAACTTCTCAAAATGTTTCTGTTCTTTTTGTGGGGAGCCACCACTCATATCTTAAACCTAGATTACACTGTGCATCTTGACACATTGTCAGGAAAGGAGCAACAAGAGCTGCTAACTGTGTAGGCTGTTACTCTTGAAACAGTTTCTTCTCCACCACCTCCCATCATGCATAATGTTTACTTGTAGATTTACCAAAGCTCATTCTTGAGGCATTTGACACAAGAGATCTAGTCTTTAGTGAATAGAAACCCAACTATTCCTGTTTCCTTATGATTTGTCTGATAGCTAGAGAAATGCCACTGAAACATGGATCTCAGTATATGCCAGATTTTTGTTTTTGTTGTTTTTTTTTTTTTTTTTAAACTATGGAAGATCCATTTTTCTTCTTTCTGCTGATTCTGTGCATGACCTTTTTTAAATATAATAATTTTTGTGTTTGGACCTCATTCTGCAACTGTAGTCATTTAACTCTTATTAAGATTTGAACAGCATTGCAACCACGGAAGATATTTTTTGTTATACTGAAATAGCATCTATATAATGTGTATACACCCACTCTTAGAATTAAATCTTTGTGTCTTAAAAATGCATTTCTGTTCCTCTGCGGTATAAATACTTAGTGGTCACTTTAGCTGAAAAACCTCAAAAGCAGAACTTATATTTTAAATTATTTTTGCTATTCAAAGATAACATGGCTTGAATATCAGGTTTCAAAAGCAGTTTGCTGCAAAGGAGCTTTGCTATAAGAGGGCAAAGTAGCCTTTTAAAAAACATAAAATTGCTTGGAAATTCAGCATTTGGAGAAAAGAGTGGTTGATAACAATTGTGAATGCTACACAAGAATTTATTACTGTTTCATATGCATCTTGCAACAGCTGGACTTGTTAGTGTTGCTGAAAGTAAAGTAAGATGAAGATACTGGATATAGAGAAGTAATAAAAACATTTGAGCCCTTTCTCTTTGTATTTCTGGTATAAAACTGTCTGATACAGAAAAGCTAGCTCTCTGGCAGAAGGTACAGGTTTGATTCTCTAGTGCCATATTTAAATTTAATTAATGTGAGTTCTTTGACTCGTAAGTTGATTGCTTTTGTAGGGGCCCTGGAATAAATTATAACCCGTGTTTACGTTGTAGGGTTTAGAAATTTAGATGTTACTTTCTCTGTTAAGCATTTTAACCATATTAATGACTGCAGAGGCAGCACTGCTACTGAACTTCCTTACTTTTCTTACTAGAAATATTTCAGACTGAAGAACTTGCTGAAGAAGGAAGTGAAATACATCACAGTAGTAGAGCTTAGCTGAAGAAGGGTAAAAGAGCATGTTGTGAACTAAGCAACAACAATTTTCAGCTCCATTGGTTTTTAAAGGAACACTTGCAGTTCAGCCTCCTTTGGGCAACATATTATTCAATCACCACTGCTGGGAAATGCACTAGAGGCATCTCAAGAGACTTTTTAGAATGGTTAAAGCTCTTCCCAAACAAAGTCCCACAGCGCCTGTAAGCTTTTGTTACGAAAACTGAGATGTCAAATATTCTCCAGAGTGTGTAAGGGCATTTTGTTAAAAGACGAAGACAAAATTAGCTATTTAGATAGAAACTTGAGGCTAAATTATTATGTTTGTGAATGTATGATTTTATTTTTGAAAGTTCAGTATCACACATTGAAAAGAGGATTTCTGCTGTACCTTAAGGTTACATATATTTCAGTTAATTTTATGGCACCTGTCATTTACAGATTCTCAAAATGAATGTGATATTGCTGTTTCTTAAATGTGTTCAAAATTTTCTATTACAGCTCTGTCTTATCTACCTGCTATTCATGTTGGACTGTTTTCCTGTATCAAATTGTTTCCTAGAAATCAGAAGCTGCTGAGGTGGTGAGCACCTGCAGCACTGAGAGTTTGTTTCCTTTAATTCAACAGTATTGATATCCTGTTGAAGTTCTAGCACAGGGCTCATAGGGAAACTTAGATCTGCTTCCACAGCAGGCACTAGTTACAGTTCAGGCCAGCATTTGCTAATGGTAGTAAACCACTAGCAAAATCAGTATCTAAGAGTATTTGAAAGGGGAAAATGACTGAAGGAAAAGGACCAACTGTGTGCTCTTCGTGTCATTATTGGGTTTAGTTTTCCATTTACTGGTTACTTCAACCTAGGACTTCTCTGTACTCCCAGAATGTCCATATTAGAGTTCACTTTTTTGAAGGCTGAGCTCCAGTCAGTTACTGGGAGATGGTTTGCAATGGAGTTTGTCTGCATCTTACTCTTTAGTCCTTTACCTGTCAATTTCTGTCACTGTGATACATCTACTCACTCTGAGCTTCTTTGTGGGAGCTTCGTTGGTCCTTTTGTCTAATGGCTGAGGGAAGAAGTTAGTCCAGCCATAGCACATCCTTCCTACAAGCTGTGCTGGCATGAACTGCAATACTCATGAGCAACTAAGAAACTCATCCAGCATTCATGGCTTACCTATCCATTCTTAAGGAATAAGTAGAGACACTCTCTTTTGAAAAGTTGAGTATTCTTTTCTTTCTTTAGGTAGGTGTGAGAAAGTTTAACCAAACTCTTTAACGGAAAATATTTCTCACCCCAAAATCACATCCTAAAACTTTTGCTGTGTTTAAATATTTCCATAATATGTGTGAGACAAATTTGGTGACCTTCTTCTTCTGTCTTTCATGAATTGTTCTAAAGTACTAGTTATGGCCAAAGGCAAGACAAAGAATTAATGATCCATTTTTACAGAGAACTTGCACTTCCCTGTTTCCTGAAAGCTTTACTCTTCAGAGGCCTTTGTGTTGACACACAGCTTGTTCTTGAAAGTGACTGCCCTTCCACTGTTCCATATTACTTAAGGCTTCACACCTGTAGGTTGCTAGCTTTAGTCTGATCAGCCTAAAATGTTTTCTTTTTCAGTTGCACAAGTGCTTTAGGACAGGTGTTGTACTGAAAGGTTGTGGAAGCCTCACTTCAAACAGTCCAGTGACAGTAGTACATCAGCAAATCCATACTGGCATATCCTGCATCTTATGACTGCCTCCTTCATAAATAGCATATTGATGGCAGTGACTAGTGTTGAGACCTTGCCAATCAATACTAACATTGAATAAGAGTTAATTGACACAAATAACTGCATCTCTCAGTTTGTGTACAAGAATGACACCTTCCTGTGCTCTAATCAATAATAACTCCTTGTAGAGCAATGAAATAAAGATGCTTTCTCTATTTGACAGAGTTTTCCCAGGTGTTTTGGATCTGTCTCTTCCATTGTATTTTATCATAGCAGATTAACTGGAATGTTACATATGAATTGTCTGTCAAGATGATTCCATCAGACATTTCTTAATGTTTATCACTGTCATCAGTATTGAGTCAAGACCTTCAGCCTTTGTTTTGTTTCTTTTTCTATAACCAGAAAAATGAAACATCAGTTACTAGCTTTGCTGCCAGCTACTGCCATTAGCTATTTTAATAGTAGTTGGTAAATGTGCATCTTTTTTGAAAAAATAATTTGTATTTACCAATACTATCGTTCTAGTTTGACATGATAATTCCTATACACATAGTATTATATGTTGCTTTTTCTTTCATCCTTTAACAAAGCTAGAGCTGTTGAGAAACTACTTAGTAATTACAGCTTCAAGAAAATCTTACTTTGATAGTAGACTTGAGAAAGAAAATGGAATAATACTGCTATAATCATTACTATCCTTTTTAAAACAATTGAGTGCATTTCAAAATAAGGGAAGCAAACCTATAAAATGTCTTATTTACAACTGCATTTTTTTAATAATAATTTTGAAAAGCACAGTTTTCCCAAAGTGAGAAAAGAGAAGTTGAGTTTTAACAATGGCAAGTACAAGCACTTTTCCAGTGTTCTTGGGTATTTATCTAATTTCCTAAAAAAAATTAAAAGCCTTACTGAATGAAGAAAACCATGGCATTCAATACGTTAAGAGGTATTTCATTTTAAAACTGCCTTTTGGAGGAGGAAAAGACAACTATATTGGAAACTTTAATGTTTAACTGATCATCATAGATTGTTACACTTCGGAATCTCTTGAGCACGGTTCTGTTCTGATCCTGAAGCTGGATTTATTGTACTCAATCAGGAGAAAGGGTATGCCTACACTCAGCTGTGTTTTGAATTAGAGGCAGAGTTAGCTTTTTATTTTTTTTTGGAGCTTCCATCAGTTGTGTTACAAGCATCTGTCATGCTACCCTAATCATGCTTAGTCAGTACTATTTTGGTAAAATCATCAGAACTGAGAAGGTGAAGGGATTCAGTGATAGAGCTTCTATGACTAGGCTACAGTTATAGAAAACTCCCAGGTATTAAATCTTCCTTTGAAATGCCCAAAACAAATTTAAGACAAATTTAAGTCTTTTCTCCTAAAAATGAGCCTTGAACATGGCATAGAAATCTTTTGTTTTACCTCTGCAGTGGTTGATGTCCTCTATCTCCATTGTCTCCTCTTCTAATGAGGAAGAATGTAAAGCCCCTGATGGAGCAGGTGAAATTCCTACTTTTAGTAAATATCTCCTCCTAGAAAAGAGGGTTTATTTTCAGACCTATTAGCAACCTTCCATCTTCTCCAGTGCCAGTAGTAAGTGACAGAATAGCTTCATTCTGGGTCTGATTTATGTAAGACTACAGAGAAGGGAAGCAGAGTAGACAAAGGAAGCAGACTTTATCTATTAAGCCATTCCCCTTCAGCATTTCTGTTATATGGCAGCATCTGTCTAAGTAAAATTAATTCTGCTAGGGTTTTTTGGGTTCCCATATAGCTACACATTCTTTTTGAGCTGTGGCTTTCCCATAAAAGTGCTCATCACAAACAGCATCAGTCGTTCTTAAGTTCAGCCATAAAACTAGCAGTATGTGAATTGTTGAGTCACATTAACATTTGAGTTTAAGTCAAACTGTATTACTACTGAATTAAACCAGAGGGACCAGTGGATATAAGATGTTCATGCTACATTCTTCTGCTCTTATATCTGCACCGACGCCCATTGCTTAAGTTAGAATTGTAGGTTTCAATTTTAATAACATGAACCATCAGAGGACTATCTCCAGTATCTTAAAGTCCCATATGTTCACGCACATATTGCTGCAATGTGATAGGAAATATAGCAATAGCAGCAGAGTAGCACAATCCCAGGCCGCAGCAAATAAGAGTAAACCCAAATACAGCATCTGTGGATTCAGAAATAAAGGAAGAAAAACTGCTTACCTTTGGAAGGCCTCCAACAGGCAGGGAACTCCAGCAAGATACCCTCACCTCCACTGCCAACTCTTAAATGAGGTCTGGGAAGGACTGGAACCTGGCTCCACCCCTTCTGGTGACTCAGGTGCATTGCATGCAGCTGAGCTCTCCTGCGTTGGCCCTGCCTTCCCATCAGGTGCTCAATCACTGTTTCAAGCTGCGATTTAGTATTTTTACTACACTGCAACATTAGCTTTTACAGCAAATCCAGATCTGAAATCAGTAAGGAAGAAAATGAGCCTCGAAGGCCCATCTTTACAGAAAACACATATGCGGATCTTGGAATTTCCTATTGGATGTCAGGGAGAGTTGAGCCTTCATAGCAGCCAAGACTATGAATTCAAAGAATTGGCTTCTGTTCTACCTTCCTCATCTCACTTCTCTATGGAACAAAAACATATACTGGCAATTTTATAGTTCCTCTAAGGCTGGCTAAGAGGAGAGAGGCAGAAAGTTGGCTGCTCACATGGGACTGTGAATGCCACACTGTAATGTGGCATACTAAGTCTTTAAAGGGCTGACTTGAATTCAGCAGTTAAAATCTGTTTACTTTCACTATGAAATGAATTTTTTTTGATTGATGAATTTTTTAATTGCTATTTTTCAGGTTAACAAACAGAAATATTATTCACAAAATGCCTGAATGGACTCTAATTGCTATTGTTCTGTTATCTGTGTAAGTAACCTTTTATTCTCATACACAATTGTTCTAACTAGCCTGTCAAAAGAATGTTTAATTTTCAGATAAAACAGACGAAAGACTTCTTGAAATTGACTGGAGGAATCAACAGAAATATTTTTAATGCAAATGAAATAAAATATTTGAAACAAAATGTTAGCAATGGACAAACAATGTTATTTTTAAGAGCTAATTTAGTTTTAGATATTTCTTATAGAAGGATGGAAGGAAGGAAGGGGTTGTTTCAGTCTCTTCTATTCATTACTCTGCCCTTCTCTATTAGTGGGACATGTATTATTTGAATTTTGTTTTCTTGTTTTAATGTCACTTTCACAATTAAAGTCAAATTATTTCCCTAAAGGTAATTCTTTTTCAGTAAAATTCTATACATAGGCATGAATTATAAAAGCTGTAGTCATATGCATCAATTAAATTCCTTAATTTATATTTTCCAAATTAACATACATTTTTAAAGTTAAGAATATAAACTTTGCAATGCATAAAACGGACAGTTCTCCATGAAATTCACATTAAACATTATTTAACATTAGTTCATCTTTTAAGAAATCACTGGTGGTTTCACATGGTGTCAGGCCCCGCTTTTCAATAGGGTTAAACCATCAAGCAATCTTTGTATGTCTTTCAGCTTGAATTACAAGATTGCAGAAATCTTATTTCAGAGGCCGTTTATTACCGCACTGCTGCTTCTTCTTTTGCATTTCCTGGGTCACTGGAGCTAGTAGGACGGAGAAGTACTTATAGATATTCACAGGTCAGGAGATGTTGTGGGCCAACCTCATAGCATCCCCAGTACTGCATTTACTTTCTTTGATATTACTTCAGTCTGACACATTGTTCTGGCTTTACTGTCCCAAGGAAGGCTATACCAGTAGGCATTAGAGTAGGCTTCAGCGAGCCTTGCATCTCTGTCACCCAGCCAGATACCGCTCAAATGATTCATTAAATCAGAACACAGAAAGTAACTTTACTTGAATGCCTTGGCATACATTTTTTATCAACTATAAGAACAAATCTTTTGTCATTTTTACTATATATTCTTATGGTTGAATTGGTAATTTGTGAAACAGATCTTATGAATTTTTCAAGTAGCTTCTGTACATTTAAGGAAATTGTGACTCTTCTGAACAGAAGCTAAAATATATAGCTGGTCCGTGCTGCATTATAATGTTGTCATAGCTAATGGTTGTTTTACAATTGCTTTTAAATGTTCTACAAGTAGCAGGCAGTCTTGGTAGCAATCAGTAGAAGCAGAGAACCAAGGTGTATTTTTTTTACCTAGGCTTCCTAAGGGTCCATGCCTAAATAAATGAGTTGTATTTGATAGAAAACTAGAGTAGATTTTATTTCTAATATTATTCCAATAATGTATTCCAATGTCTTGACCTGGTGCGACACAGGATGACTATTTTGTCATAATGCTCAGCAGTGCAGTAGCATAAGCAAGACTCTGAAACTTCCTCTTTCCAGCAGAAAGACCAACCACATTACACATACTCTGTGCTGCATGAGGTGTAAGAACACAAACTAAAGAAGGCAGAGTGAGCATGGGATTTCAGGGTATACATGAAAAGAAACTTCTAAGACCTCAAGTATTTTTGTTTTGTTTGGAAGAAGACAAACTTTGTTTAAAGTAGCAACTGTTGGACTTGCACCCGACTTTGTGCATCGATATTGTGGCTCACCACTTCCTTCTCCTAGGGACATACGGCGTGCTTAAGTTCACAGTGCATTTTCAGAGTACAACGACACTTTCTGTGCTATTGCGAGATTCAATATTATCATTACAGTTGTACTGACCTAAAGACTTATCACTGCTTAATAGTTTGTATTATGATAATTTTATCCTTTCTTCATTAAGAGTTTATGAATTAAATCTTTGTAGAATCTGCATGTAGGATAGTCACAACGCCTAATCTTACACCTAATTTTAGTGCTTAGATAAGATTTGGGCTCCCTTTGTATTCTGCTGGCCTTCCAAAAATTATTCTAAGTACTTAAATGCCCTCAAATTTATTGACTGTTAAAGAAACTTGGACTTCCAATTCATTGTTCTGAAGTAAAGTACCTGACAGTAAATGGTCTGGCTATCTTTCTAGAATTATAAAATGTTGGAGATCCCAGTGGTGAAGCATTTCCTCTTTCTAGTGAACAGCTGGATTTATTCAATCAAATTGAAAATCTAGCCTGAGGCACTCCTGTCTTTGTGACTATATTGACTTTCTCAGAATACACTTCGACAGACAGAGAATTTTGTGTGAATGCTTGCATTCATGCCTATTGTGGAGTGGCTGACTCTGAAATGATCTGCAGATCAAATTTCTGATTTATTTGCCCATTAGATGTTGTAAATTTTTGTATATCCCTGTCATATTTAATACCAATGTTAAGTAGAATTTTGTGTTACACCAGTAACTACTTTGTAATGTAAACCAGAAAACAGAAGTTGCATCTTTTTCTCCCAAAGTACTTTACAAGATGTTAAAGTGAAGCAGATAAATAGATACACATACAGTAGTCAAGACAGAATGGAGAGAGCAGTGGGAAGATTAGTTGCTATATAAGCATGGGCACTTGCTGTTTTTACTGTATACCCCTGGTACAGTCTAATGGAAAGCTTTCAAGATATTTTCAGGAAATGTCTGCTTTCATCTTATTTATCTGAGCTGGCTGGTTCCAGTGAACTGTGGTCAGCTTCATCTACAAAGCCTATGCAAGAGGTTCCTCCCGCTAAAAGCTTTGAAATGTTTCAGAATGTTCTGGGATTAGCGTATAGGCATTGGGCTGCAGTATTTAAACAAACTCAAAATGACCATGATCACAAAACAAAAGCCATCGTTACGTGTGTGCAGCCACTTTAGCTAAATGTGTCGTGTGGAGATGTACTCTGGAGGTTTACTCTCTTGGAGATAACAGTTCAGGAACTGGAGAATCTTATGTTCAAGTATGCATTTTTACTTCTTTGCACAACAGAGCATTTGTATTATTCAACGCTGAAATTCCTAAGATATTTTCAGACAAATTTAGATGTTTGTGATATCTCTGCTTTGTTCTTGCCTGGAAGTGTCTACATGTGTGAAATGTACAAATACATATTAGATATGAATCAGATTTGCAGAGTGACTGTGCAAATGGCACCTGAACTCAAGATAGCAGTTTTTTTCCCAAAGAAACCACTTAAAAATCAGGGGGGTGATCTTTTATTCCACATCTGATGACAGAAAGTAGGTTTCAGCTGAGAAGAGTTGTTCGTAATTGAGCTAAAAATGCAATTTTTTTTTTTTCCCTTCTGAAACAGTTTGCAGGACCAAAAGCCCCAAAACCTTTCTTTTTGTAAAAGCATTTGAAATTAAGGCCGAGTCTTTGTCTGTCCTCTTGCTCTCAACTTGTAGTTTTTTTTGTGAAATAAAGAAAAGGCAAGGTTTTTCAACATGGTTAAAAAATGAATGTATATGTTCTTCCTTTTTTCATTCTTAATAGATTTAGATTGTCATTTAGTAAGTGTGAACTCAAGCGTGTTTTCTGTTAAGCATTTCTTACTTATCAGCGTTTCCTAAGCAAACGCAATCTGCTTATTTGGCATAATGTGCAGGAGATCAGTATTACTTCACTTCCTCCCAGCATGTTCCAGTATTACTTAGGAAATATAAATACATAGAACAGTATTTTGAAGGATTGCCGTGTTGTTCATTGGGATATTAATCAGTGCCAACTTTAAAATTAATTAAATATCTCATTTGTAAAAAAGAAAGAAGAGACCTTAGCAGTTTCAAAGAATCTCCTAATTAAAAAAAAAAAAAAAAAAAAAAAAAAAAAAAAAGAAGAGAGAGAGAAAGAAAAAACACTGTGTTACTAGTGCTCGTACAAGAAAGTGGCAGTTTGTACTTGAGTGCAGCATATACAGCTGCAGTCCTTTTCCAGTCTGATATGTCTTGTGGACAGTCTTTTGAATGGGATACTTGGGTGTGCTATGCCCAGCACAAACCCTCAGATAGGATGATTAGTTCCCCTTTACATTTCTGGTCCTTGGTCTCATCAGCAGCAGTGATATCTTAGCACACGCTGTCTTCTACACTTCTTTTGCGTGGAGCCAGGGTGTTGGGTGCAATAAGATCACTGTGCCTATCAGTTTTGCTGCCCATCACAAGGGAAGAGCAGGGTCATGGTTTGCTGCCAGGTGTACTGGCAATCCCTCGAAAAGACAGAAATCTGTGTGCTCCTAGCAGATGTGTGTGGGGGCATGCAGAAGACTGAAGTCATCCCCAGCTGTACAAAGATGCTGTGCAGGAGTGCCTCACCAGTTGCAAATGGACATTCATGGCGGTGTTTTCCTGACTAATCCCTTTGTTAGAGGGGGAACATAAATCTAGAAATAATTTTATGCAGAGTATAATTTTGGAGCTGCTTCTTTAGATGCTCTTGTCAACTTTATATTCCAAATGTACTTGCAGTTTATGAATTGAAAGTATGGTAGTAGAAAAAGTTCTTTCCTCTGCCAGTTCATTTTTTTTGTTCTGTGTAAGAAAACATGTTTTTTGTTGCAAATTCTGTTTCAACCCAGTTCTGAAAGACATTTTTATCATGTTGACTCTTAGGGAAGCTATTGCAGTTCATGTCCTATTGAACTTCATGCCACAAATCTGTGCTGATCAAGCAGATAGAAAAAATGTCCAGCATTATATGAGAGAGAACTCTTTTAAATTTATGCTCATTGAAAATGTATATATTAAGCAGACTTTTTTTGGAGTCATATTTTCCCCTCCTTCTATAATTTCTTCATACATCTTGCTTGTTCAAACTCATGCCATAACAGAGTAAGTTCTACAAACTGTAATATAGACAGTTCTGAAGTAAAGCTTCAAAAGACATGGTCAATGCTGTTAACAGCTGCCCTAAACTTAGTTTTAAATATATTTTAACTTCAACCACTGAGCAAACTGAACTGTTAATTTTGCAACTGAGTCTCAAAGCTCTAACCT